TTTCGAGATTTCGACGAACGCGAGGCGATACATGGAAAGGCTCTGTACGCCGTTGTTGTTCGCATTTCAACGCTGCGAAATGAAAACAGGAACAAATTGCGCGTCTCGAAGGAAGCGCAGTCGAATTAATTCCGGGTGTGCATTCGAAATGTTTTTCTTACGAAATAAAAGAACGATTTTATTACTACAGCGTGCTCTTTCGATTATCGCCACTCAAAATATCCGATTAGCAGATCGTAAATTGCTAATCTTGCTAATGGAACTTATTGTCAAGCTCAAGGTATTTATAATTCGAGACAAAGTTCAAGAGAGGAAGAATTCTATTCATATTTTCATGTGCGTATATTAATTTTTAGATTAAATTTATAATTTTATGTGCACCGGAAAAATTTTAAAAAATGAGAACACACACATGTACAAAGTATCAATGATGTTTTCAGATAGACGTATATTCTGACACTTGAAATATTTTCTATTACATAAATTTATAAATAGATTCTTATCTCGGATTCTATCGCGGGTTATCTGAAGTCCGCATCGGACTGTGCATTAAAGATTGTAGATTGCGAATTGGAGACTGGAATTCGACCTATCGGGACAAACTGGGCTAAGATTGCTCGATCGGTCGGACTCTAATCTCCAAATCGCAATCGCAATCGCAATCTCCAATGCATAGCTCGGCTTAAAACGATCTCGAGCGAAAATAAATCGTTTGCGACTGACGATTAGATTGAATGTACATTCATTAGATAAACGAACAATTCATACACAAATGTTCATACTGTGTCGTCGTGAATAAATTGCCGTAATCGAAAGAGTTACACCCCCGTGCCAGTCAAAGAATGTCCTAAAAGCGGGCGGGAGTCTATTTTTAGGTACAGGTCCGTTGCAGTATGTATGTTATATACCGGTTGGCCCCGTAAGATGATGCACTTACACAACAGCCCACGGCTACGTATATACGAATCGGTATGCGGACTTTTGGTCCATACGGACCCGAGTGTCACAATAAAAAGGAACGAGATCTCGTTCCTCGGCACTAACGAGTGCATTATACCGCTTGACGAAAATTGACAATAAGATTTCATAAACCAGAACTGTAAACACGGCTTTCCTAATTCTGACGCCCGAATGCAATTGGAAAGTCTCGCCACTGGATCCTTTCCATTGTGCCCCTTGCCAGAACATTCCTCGGAGAGGATCAGGCGATCTCGCTCGCAATCGCGTAAAAAGATCGCGCTGTTTACAAATGCATCGCGTTGGCGTTGCTCGCTCTGGCCGGTCGCTCGCACGGAATAAAAAAGACCTCGAGCCTGACATTTTTACGTCGCCTACGAATACTGGCATTTGCATTATTGTCCTCTCTCCCTCTCTCTCTCTCTTTCTCTCTCTCTCTCGCTGTGTCGGAGAAACACGCATTTCGCGGCGTCACCCCACCACGGTTCGTGCACATTTACGAGGTAACAGTCGTAAATTATACTTTTTTTTTTCGTGCCGGCAAACGGCAGCTTACAAATTGACGACAGCAACAAAACAAGTTCACTCCGAAGTAGTTCAGGCGTTTAGCCAAAGAAAAGGGCAACCAGGGCATTAGTAGAACTAACAGTTGAAACCTTCGAAAATGTGCACGATAATGGTTTTTTTTTTTTGTTTGTTTTGTCTAGCAACGTTGTGCAAAATCTCATGGCTTTATTTGAAGCCGTGTGAAAAATACAGTATTCGAAAGATTAATACGGAAGAGAAAACATCATCAATCTTTAACTGATTATCGAGAAACAGGCAGGTAGAAACGACCGATGATTTATAAAGAGAAACATAAAAACCAATATTAAAAATCCGATAGAGAAGAAAAGCAAAAGTGACGTCTACAAACTTCTGATGATCGATGATGTTATTATTTCTTTCATATTAAGTTTCAATTATTGTTAACGACTTCAAATAAAATTAAAACAATGCGCCGAATCCGGAAGTTTATAGTTTAAGTCCAATCTACAGCACGGTCTCTCAGATCTAAATCTCGATTCGACTTTGCTCTCAATAAATCATCTACTTTATCGATCAATCGATCTGTGAAGCCGTCTTATTTTTCTTTTATATCAATTAAAAGAATGAGATAACAGAATATACAACGTTTTCCATGGATTAATGTACCAGGACACACGTTATTCGGAGAATTCCTTCTCGAATAAGGCAAAAATTACATGTATTCACCATGATGCGTTGAATATTATTGATGTAACAAGCTTTAATTGAAATTTTTGCGAATTTAATTACGAGAGATAGTGCGCGGGGTTTTTTTTTTTTTAATAATATGACGATGTGCAAAACAGCGGCACGAATTGCGCGCGGCGTTTCGATTTCCACGCGACCGTCGACAAGAGAGGCCAAGCCGAGCCTGATCACCAGATTTCTCGCGTTTTTCAGCGAGGCGAGAGCGCGCACGTCGCGCCGCGGCCCTGGCGGATGGAATGCGGGCGCGGCGAGTCCCGCCGAGTTCCCGGCGAGTTGCGCGGTGTATGTGGTATGGATATATACGCGTACTCGCGCGAATAAAAAAAATATATATAATATATATATGTATATATATGTATGTATATATATATATATAATATATATATATATATATATTATATATATATATATATACACACATGCTTCGTGTAATTTAAGCGGTGCTCACACGTGCCGCGCCGATCGACGAAAACGCGGTTCTGCGCAAATAGCACACTTTTTATTGCGAATGATTCTTTATAAATATTATTTCAGTTCTTTGGGTAAATGGAATAAAAAATAATAGATCACATTTAGCCATCACAGTCCCAATGAATAAAGTTTCAATTTTCAAGTGTTTCGTATTTGCTCTAATTTATAAAAACAATAAAAAAAATCTAGATAATAAATGTGAATTTTTTATCAATATACGGAGAGTTAAAGATTACATGTGTGCGAAAGGTTTAAAAATTATATTCATACGTTCAACGACGAGGACGCATTTTCGATAAAGCTCTTACAAGTTTAGATAAAGTATCACATTCCAAACAGTCGCGTTTTCAATTATTTGAAGTAACGAATCCGCAATACCAAGTTGCACATATTATTTTAAGAAATTCAAATTCAACGTTGTTATACGTTTACATTTGTAATTACATTTGTGTGTGCTCGGTGTATATTTTTTAGTGGAACAAGAAACTTCAGAAAAAAGGACGAGGACGTTTCTCGCGCAATCTTACGCTTTCGAAAAATCTTGACGGCAAAATCTAGATTCACAAGATTGTACCGTTCGATCTGCAGAATTGCGCAGGCATAAATTTTCATAGACACGTAGCGGGATCGTGTGGATCGCGACGAATGTAGAATCACGCGAGCGCGCTGGAATTACATAGGATCGTAGATTACGTGAATTGCGAGGATCGTCAATGATGCGCGCGATATATGCGAAACAGGAAAATCTATCTCGATTCAATGAAGAATGGTATGCGGTTATCGCGAGATAACAGTATCAGGGGGGGGCGGAGTGTCTTTTTCTTTTCAGCAGGGCGATAGCAACTTTCCGTAATCCGTCGTTAATTTAGTGCAGAAACTTTTACAGAGAATTTATCGTCAACGCGACACATGTTAGATAACATGATCTCTCGATAAGCGATTCATGGTTTCCCTTTGAATGAAATAGGTGAGGATTCTAACACCTTAGTCTTTTCTAACACCTTTTTTTAACGCTTTCTAAAATGAACTGAATAAAGATAATAGATAAAAAGGGTGTCTTCGAATGGTCCTTCGGATCCAAACGTTAAACAGTAGACGACTTGTTTCTCCTGCCACATGCTGATTTGAAACACGTCCAGAACTTTACCCGCATTTATTGCTTATAAAAATAAACAAGTTTCATCGAGTAGCATCTGTATATTTAGCAGTTAAAATCACGATCGCTTCTAGATTGGAAGATTCCGTGTTCGCTGAATTAGCTATCAATTTCTCTCGCGATCAATGTATGCGCCTATATGCAACTATGCAGCCTCGATACCTCGAGCCTGCGATACGCGCGGGTATGTATGTGTATGCACGAGTGTGCATATTTTATCAACTTAAGCAGCATTCACACAAGACTATAATCGGACGAGCGTCGTGGCTTCACGGTTTATCTGCCGGTTCGCTCGCCGATGTGTTATAACGCGGATAAAAATTCCCGCGAAACATTGTTCGCGATATCCTTGAAAAAAAGTCGATACGCCGGTGAGAGCTCGCGGAAAGTCTGCGAACGTGTTAAAGGTACATTTACACGGAGCGTTTATATATCGTGCGATTTCGGAGCACGCGACCTGCGCTAAAATGTATACAGGATGCCTGAGAAGTCGCACACTTTCTCTATACAACGAGCATTAGAAGCTAGATTAGAAACAGTGATGCTGTATAGTCATGCCAGTCATAACAAAACGTTTATAATCTTTTTTTTTCTTTCACGTTGCAATCGATCGCGGATTAAATTGGATTTTCGCAAATTAAACGTTTCAGAGCGATATAAATGAATAACGATAAGGTTCTCGTGAGTTTCCGGTAAATATTTCCTTGGACAAATAAGAATTACAATTTCGAATTGTTTGATTAGCAAACAATGTAATAAACATCGATTAATAAACAAGAATGATTTACTAATGTTTTACTGAGATCGAAGTTTTGAAAAATCAATGTGGAATTTGCAGAGAAAGCGACCCGTAACACCCCGTATACGCGCATTCCCGCCGAATCGCGCGCTAAATCGTGCATCTTCACGAGATCCCGGTTCTCGTGATCGCGGCGCGAGAGGGATGGCCGAAACGGAGTGTGGAGAGCAGCAACATCGTCGTGACGCTCCAGCGCACGCACACTGACGCAATGTGCACGCGAATTCTCGCTTGAAAACGTGCGCGCGCGCGCTCGCGCGCGCTTTCAAGATGTACCGAGAAAGAGTGAAGCAGCGAGTAAAGCGGCTGCGAATAAGAAGGGGGAAGATTTCTTTTACATACCTGTCCCGGGGATCGATCCATGTAGTTTTTCGCGTATTATGATCGATGAAGTACACCTTTCCGTCGAAGTCCTGGGCGACGTCCCATCCTTCCGGAAGCGGTATCTCCCCATTCCGTCTCCTTGGCATATTTCACTGCGCTCTAAATCCATCCAAAACCTCTCTCTCTATCGCCGTGCGGTCGACGGGCGCATATCTGTGCGCGCGTACACACGCTTCTCGGGCCGCATATACAACCTCTCTCTCACTCGTCGTGCGGCCGACGTGAAGAACGGGCGAGAACGAGACAGGTAAATTGGACGAGGTGGGAATGAGGGAGACGGCGAGCAGCGGCGATTCCGGTGCAGCGACGAAGACGGCGATAAAACGTATTGCACACACATATACGCGAGGCGCAGCGGGCATATGTACCGCGCGCTCTTTCTCTCGTACTCTTTCTCTCTCGCTCTGGCTCGCGCACTACTCCGCCATCATGAATACCTCATTATCATGAACGTGACGTCAGAATCCCCGCCTTCAGATTCTTCTCGAACGGAATTCCACCGTTAACATAGCCGACCGTCGAGGAGCAGCCAGAGGTGGCGAGCGGCGGCGGCGGCGACACTGTCGTAGTGTTTTGCTCGCACGGGTGCATCGATCGGGTGCACTTCGCGTATCATCACCACCTTCCCGTGGCCTTTCTCTTTCCCACCTTCCTTATTTTCTTCTCGTCTTCCTTCCTTCCCTCGTTTGACACTCGCGCACACAAATTCCTCCCGCTGGTCGGAATCTCGGAATCCTTTCCACGATCCCGCGCTCGCTCTCTCTCGCGTCTTCTCATGCACCACAGAATAAATAAAAGAAAGAAACAATAAAACAAAACACCGCGCACTCTTATTTATATTTCTTCTGTTTTCTCTCGATGCTTTGTCGCTTCGCACAATTTAGTCGCCTTCCAGCATATCTCTCTCTCTCTCTCGTTCAACCGGAGTGTCACATCGAGATCCACTCGTAAGGTGCTGCACTCGAGCTTTTAACGGGCTCACAACAAATCGCAATTGTCTGACAATCGCGGCAGTGTCCTTTTTAAACTAACTTGAACGATCACTCGCGGCAGCCACTTCGCGACTCGTTCTCGCGCGCGTGACCTGCGTGAACGTCGCTCCGTCGCGATCTCCCTGCCGGACGCTACAGCGACGTCGTGTCTCTTGCGGCAGCAGCGGCGGTGATGGTTGCGACTGCGGCGACGGTGGCGGAGGCGGAGGCGGAACGGCAGCGACGGCCCGCGACCCGTTTCAAGCGACGCGCGCTATCGCCGGCTCCGTGCAGCGGCGGAGCACGTTTCACCGTGTTCCCTTTTCCTCGTTGCATTAGCCGCGGTTATAATGCTAATGCCGTGCAGCGGATCTTGACATTTTTCGCACGCAAGAATATGTGGGAACTCGACGCCCTCTATCGCGGCATCCGTAGCTTTTCTCTCTTTTGAGTTCGAATAAACGCGCAATGTGTGAAAACAGTTTTATATATCACTTACTTATTCTCTCGTTGTTATCCCTTTACCGTTTTAATTCAAACTCGCGATCGACGACGATGACAGTAGCACTCACTCAGATGCACTACAGAGCCCACCGACAGATACCACCGACTGTCCCGCGTAATCCCGTCCGTTGGAAACCGGTGAAAGAAAGTCGCACCACCGTTCAATTCTTCTACTGTTCAAGAATAATGCTTACTTACAAGACGCGGGTATGATGCACACCGAATTTCACGGTAATACGCGCGACGATTTTCTCGTTTCCACGACGCTACCACCTCGCGTCAGCTACGAGCATGCCGAGTGTTTGAAGACATGCCACTGGACGTTCATGCTCGGCAATATCTCTCTCTTTCGTTCCGTACCTCTTTCTCCCGTTCGCAACTCCACTTGTCCCGCTCCTCCCCGTATCCACGCACACACTTGCTGCGAAAGAATGCGCTGTTTCCCTCACCGTGACCATGTTATGTCTTCTCCGTTCGACTCACGGCGTCCATCTTTGTCTAGACACTGCTCACTCGATCATCGCTCTCCCCGTGTCCCGCGCGGTTTACCATATTTTGATACTGTCCTTGTCGCGCTCGCCGTTGCCCATCGTGCCTTCTGCCTCCCACCGCCGACCGCCGGTAAGTTCGTGTGTCTCTGACCGCCGTACTAGAATGGACGGTATGTTGCGCTTTCGCATATTTACCGCTATGCCTCTCGACGGCGCCACTGTACGAACACAGTATGGCAGAATTATTTGAAATAGTCGAATATGTCGAAAGGGCGACGTACTTCGACACTTTTGACTAATGCATAATACAAATCGGAGATCGGAAATTGTGCTTGGAATTATCCTGAGCGAATATATTTGGAATTCGGCTCCACTGCCGAGCTGGCACTATTCGAGCTGGAGTATCCGAGGCATAACAGCACCTATGAAAATTAGGATATCTTTTAGACATCTATGTTTCATAAATTACAAGAATGTTTGTTGAAGGGGATAAAGCCTTTGCTGTCCCTTCTACAATTAGTCAGAGAAAAAAGTATACCGTGCTTTAAAACATGCTCCATTTTTCAAGATATTCCTTCAACGACTACGCATTCCGTTCTCCTTTCGCGTCCATTTTGTATATACGAGAAGGCAGCTAAAGCCGCATGCGCATTTCTGTCCACTAAGGCCGGATCTACAATAGATGTAGTAAGCTTTAAACCGTAACATATTGACCAATCATAGTCAATTATTCTTCATACATTCGTCTGTGATCGGACAATTTTTTACGGCTTAAAGCTTACTACATCTATTGTAGATCCGGTCTAAGGGTGAATTAATAAGAAAATAGATCAATCCGTTTCTTTATGCATATGCTTGTGCACTATACTTATGTACTATGCAAATTCGTCTGAATATACTCTGCCACGAAGGCGTATGTGAATCTGACGTGCCTATTGATGACCTTTGTCACCCACGTGACCATCAGTATTTTGGCATGAAGTAAACACACGCATATACACATCATACATCATATATACACATACGTGTATGATAGAATGTGGAACATATGTTGAAACTCGTTCGTAATTTGCTGTCGAGGAGGTGTAACCATTAGATTCATTAGCGAGGTATCTTTGTGATCCCGTGCGAATTTATCTTAATCTTGGATGTGCGTAAAATTGTGTCTTTTTTAGGAATAAGCATTGATAAGAGATGGCAACGTCTGAGAGCGATCCCGATTTTGAAAGCGCAGACGAAGAGCTGGGGCGTAGCGCGCCCATCAAACGAGATACCCAGAGAAATTACTGGGTGCCACCGTCGACAGTGGACTCCGAATCGGACGACGATACCGAATACGTCCAACACGCGATTTGCAAGAGCTCAGACTGGCATAGAAGACCGCAAGCTTATCGGATAAATGTGCCACCAGTTGTGGCAATGTGTCAAGAGGCATCAATTAGTGATAAGAATATTGATAATAATGTCAAAGTTGAAGCTGATACACGTGCCACTAAATCAGAGCGTACAGAAGAGACTTCTGACAACAAAGAAGATAAGTGTTCTCGCATTAAGTCAGAGAAATCATCAATCTCTGTTGCATCAACAAAGGATAAAGATATTAAATCTGTAGATAAGAGTGAAAGTACAGAATCAAGTAATGCCATGCCTAAAGTAGAAGCAAAAAAGACTGGAAATGCCTCTAGAACAGTGCAACGACCAAATGTGACTCGTCAATTGGATGCAAAGAAACTAGGAACTAAAATTACAAAAGATGTCGATGATGGTCCTCATACTAAAGCCAGTCTAACTACAGTGGAAGAAAAAAATAAAAGCTTAACCAAATGTTCAAATGAAACATCTGCAAGGATGGATACAGAATGTAAATCTCAAGAAAAATTCAAAGCTCAATCAACAGATAATCAATCTAAATCAAATGATTTGTCAGAAATAGATATGCCGGAAGAGCTAAAATCAGATAAAAAATTTAAAGAAGTTTTTGAACCAGAAGGTTGGGAAGGACTTGGAGATATTGAATTGCCTGACGAGTTGATGGAAGAGAAATTGCAGCCTGTATTGGAGACGCTTTCTGAGGCGAGTAAAGAACCAGAAAGTTCTTTAGGAATGTGGAGGAATAGCTGGGAAAATTGGGGCGTAACTTCTTTTATTAATACAGCTACTGCAAGTGTTTCTACTCTGACTAGTCATGTATCTCAAGGACTTACACTTTTGGAAGGGACAATAGGAGGCATGCAAGATTCCATAGAGCCAGCAGAAATAAAACAGGATGAACCTGACGGTACATTAAATTTTATTTTAATGTTTTCATATGTAATGGTATGCATAATTTATTAATTCATGTAACATTACATTCAAGATTATATTCAAATAATACTAGTGCGCACAAAAATAGATCTTGAATTAGAAAGCAAATTTTTATTGTCCTTTAGACAGATATGTATGATCTTTTGACTATTGGCATTTAAAATTAATAAATATTAACTATCAAATAGCAATTTAACTTGTATTTCTAATTCAAAACTTATTTATTAATAATCTTTACTCACTTTTCATTGATATGTTAATATGGAAATAAACAGTTGTTTCTTTTTAAGCATATTTTTAAAATTTGCTGATTTGTATTGTTAACAGATGCAAAACCAAAAATTCAAGAACAAGAAAGTCAGTCGTATAGTTCATTTGGATTCGGGAATTTATTGTCAGGAGTATCATCAATTACAAAATTGGTCGAGTCCACTGGTAGTAAAGTTATGACAGGCGGTTTAGACACATTGGAAGCTATTGGGAAAAAAACGATGGAGGTATTACAAGACGGTGATCCTGGATTAAAGAAGAAACGAGCTTTCTTTATGAACGATCCTAACAAACCGATTTTATCGCAAATTCTACGAGAGGCGAAGGAAAAAGCTGAGAATGAAGAGAAATCACTCGAGGAACGTGAATTATCGAGGAAAATTCATTTTGAGAGTCTTTTCGACGATTATCAGGGACTCGTTCATTTAGAAGCTCTGGAAATGTTATCCAAACAGAGCAATATGAAAATTCAGCAACACTTGATCGAATTGAATACGAACGATTTGACTTCTGTACAAGAAACTTTGGAGGAGATTAAAGAACTTTGCGAGCTAGATGGCAATGAAGATGATGAAAACAAAAGTGATGGAAACTTCAAGAACAGATTAAAGAATGCTTGTCACGATCTTGGTGTCAATATCACTTATGAAAAGTTAAACGACGTAAGAAAATATTTATATATACTAATAATAGAATTCCATGCTTATTGTTATGTTGAAAATAATAGTCGATTTGTTTTCAGGTCTGGACAGAAACGGAAAGTTATCTCGCATCATCTTCGACGCACACAGACCAAGAAATCTTCCAGAGCGCTATATCAACATTGGCACAGTTTACAGCAATTTCTGTAGAAACATTTCATAAGACGGCAGAATTGTTGTTAGTCAAGGAACGACGCAGTACAGTGAACGAAGCCGATGCTTTAGTGCAACTTACTAATATTCTGTCCGATCAGATCAGCTCATTAGCTAATTCATTCTGCAATACGTTAAATCAACTTGCCGAGACTGCGGAAAAATCGGATAGAATCAACGCGAATATAACAACGATTTTCTTGGAGGTGAGTCCTTAATGGAATAATTCTAATGTAGCATGCAATAATCGTAATATGAAAAATTATTTCTTTTACACAGGCTGCTAACGCGAATTCGTATATTCAAGATGCCTTTAGACTTCTCATTCCCATTCTGCAAGTTGGTGCTATCTGATAAGGTATATAAAATATAAGGAAATTTTTATACTTCACATTTTCAACGACATTGTCTCTAGATTAAATACCGTTTTTGTCGGTACAGAGGTATAGGTTGTAATTACTGTTTTCCCGTCTCATCTTACTCTTTTTATTAAAACGCTATTTATATTCAAAAGTGGGACCAAGTTGTTAATTCGTTATATTTACATCTTATAATCTGCTGTTGTTGATTATTGCAAGTTTTTGTCATAATAAACGAGATAAATACATATTAATACAGAACATACATAATTATTAAACAAATTTTAATAAAAAAAGTTTTAATGTATTATAGAGGACAATGCCATTACTTTAAAGTAATTAAATTTTAGGCATTTAATAATATGAAAAAATATATCTATGATTCATGTAAGATAATAGAATATCCGTAAAATAGAAATTCCACTAAAAATTGTACCATGTATATACCAGCAATATTAGAGTAAAAAGAAAAAAAATAAGAGTATCACAATTGATTTCGTGATGAATCTTGAACATATAAAAACACCTCTCAACATCGTCATTAACACTAACAATCTAGTAAAGTGGAGACTTTACAACGTGTATCGAACTTGTAGATAACAAAACATTTATAAAAATCACAAGAATCGTAATATATGCGATAAGTGATCAATGCTTTCCTCGTTTATTACCAACGGGAGGCTTTTGAAGTTGAAAGTTTGGAGTGGCCCCATTTACTGGCAACGGTGCGGTCAGATTAATCGGTGCGTTAAAATTTAAACTTGCGGTCGGCGGTTTCATAGATGAGCCTATAGCAATGTTAGTAGCAGATGGTACTGGTGTCGAACTTTCCCAAACTGTAACAATATATTTACACCATTATTATTAATTCAATTGGAAGCGATATAGAGATGAAACATGTATAATAGCTATAAAGCCGTGGAGTAATCTTTCACTATTAAAGATGATATATTTATTTTTTTAATGATAATACTTTAACAAATTAGCCATATTTTTTTAATACTCTTATTAATTATTATCTGATTAATAATCGAAGTTGTGGCATTATTTCTGTTATATTTGTTAGTACAGCAAAAATTTTGGTGTAATTTTTTTCAAGAGAATATTCTGAAATTTCCGTCTCGAAATCCGATTGAAACGTTGCAGATGTACGTCTCTAAACATTCTGCAAAATTTCGTTTGAATTCCATGAAATTTCCTGATCAGTATCTACATTTGCAAGCATTATCGCATAACATTGGCAAAGCCGAAAGCAAAGCATGTGTATATATTTTTTAAAAGGCGCTATCGTCTGTCAAGAAAGCACAATTTCGAAGTTTTTTTTGTAGCATCTCAATGCAAAATATAGCACACAAAAGATTAATAATATCAATGTAATCATCTATATACATGAAAATGAATTGATTACTTCGTAGGAAATTTATATATAGGCAAAGAAGCGCGTTACCCCTTTTTCCATGACCGACGATACAAAGAGAAATTGAAATAAAAGTTGAATACCTCAATAATTAAACTATAGCCCTTACTTTTTCCCTGGAAAGGCAAAATCAAAGTCAAAATCGTACAAATTAAAATCAACGGATATTTGTTTCAAATAAGAGAAAAAAAGAAAGAAGTGGACAGGCCAATTATGAGAACACACGTTAATTCTATTTAGTAATGAACGGCGTTATATGTTAGTGAGTTCTACCTTAGAACTATATCCACGCAAGACCTGAAGGTAGGAGATCTTTAGGGAGGCGGTTAAAGTCATTTTTAATTTTTTTTTTTTTTTTTTTTTTTAAAGGAATCTTTTACTTTTAGCAGAGGATATATATTAAAATTACAAGATAGTCAACAAGGCCTATTTACCTAAAGGATTTCGTGTTTCGTAAGTTGTCGGCCGATTCGAGTTTAACGTCGTCGACGACAAAAAGCTTTTATTTCCTGTAAGCATTGATCTTGTTTTTCAAGATGATACGTCACTACATTAGTAATGTACATTATTAGCGTAGTACGTTACTAATGTGCTACATTATCCTAGTTATGTTGAAACGCCCGTAATGTTTACCTGGTTCAAAAGGCGTCGGACCACTAGTGATCCTTCCGATGTTGCTTCGACTAGATTTACTGCTCGCCTTGATACTGTCAAAAACATTGGTGTTATCTTTCAACACATATTTCCTGAAATTGAGATACTGCTCCTTCTGCTGCTGCACCTTGGCATGCACACTTTGTAATCGACCGGCAACCGCAACCAGAGACTCATGAAGCTTACTCATGGCCATCGTCAATTCTAATAAAGCAACACACGATTAACAAGTTGACTAATTTAAATGAATTTTCTTCACAGAAAAATTAATATACCCTGTGGTGTTAGTGTTCTCGGTGCCATCATGGCTTGTATATGCTTCTCTGTTGTCTCGATTTGTGATCTGAACAACATCAAATCGTGTTCAAAGCTCTCGACTAGTTCCATGAAGAACTGAAGGGGCGCATTATTTTCATACTGCAAACCCGGTGGAGTATCGTGAGTTCTTTGAGCTATTTCTGCACTTTGCAACGCTCTTGCTGTATCCTGTTTCAGTTTATCCGCTGACGAACGATCCCGTTGCACTGAGCCAGATAAGGTTGATAACATTTCCATTAATGATGCCGTATCCTCTGCACAACGATTTAATGGTCTCGACGAACCTCTCGCGATATCTGAAGATAGGCCTTTCTGTATTTTTACAAAATCCCTGCAAAATATATATATCAGTACTGGATCATCTCCTTGTATATGCATTTATCGAGATAATTACTTGAATTTATCTATGGTTTGCATAAGTTCATTTGGCAATAGATTCTCTTTGGCAGCTGTTGAACTACTATTTCCTTGAGAAAGGCCCTTATTATTAACGGAAACATCTAAGCCACCAAGCCCTTTATGTACAGTAGTAGTAGTAGTTGCAGCAGTTATTGGTTTAGCACCCAATAAAGTGCTTCCAGGTGCAGATCCAAATAAGGAGGCTGTGAATAAATCGTTTTATTACCATACAATAAAATTTCTTTTAGAACAGTTGTAAAATATACATACTATTAGTAGTAGCTGAGCCAAAAGTTAAACTTCCCTGTTGCTGGTGTATTAGATGTTGCACCAAATGTTAACATGGTCGTTGTAGTTGGTGTGCCAAAACTAAGTCCAGTAAATAAAGGCGCAGCCGTGGTAGGAGCAGGAAATAAACTAGGAGCGGTGGTCATCGTAGTAGCTGTATTAGATCCTAGAAGCAGACCACTGCTTTGCAGTTGGGCGGCGGTCGTTGGAGTACCAAATCCAAAATTAAGACCTACGGATGTCGTCGGAGTGGACATAGTGCCAAACGCTAACGGGCTAGATGTTGTGGCTGTGGTACTGAACGATGGGTTGCCCAAACCGAAGCTTGTTATTGATCTTAACAAAAAAAGAAAAAAAAACACTTTATAATTAAGCAAGTTCTTTCCACCACAAAAAATAATTTTAAATCAACTTTTACGATTAACTTTTGATATTTGTGAATATATTCGACAATAAAATATATATACTTCATCTTCATTTTCAAAACAATTTTATAAACAATTAAAACCGCGATAATCTTTGATTTTCTTGACAATCTTTGAAGGTTAGTTAAGTGTTCGAGACTATTTACTTTTGCGTTCCAAATCCAAAACCAGTGGTGGTAGAGGTGATAGTTGACGTTCCGAACGTAAATGCCATTTTATCAACAAATAAATATACTCACGCGTGAAATAATCTATTTACAATACTAACACGTTACGATTATAAACACTTCTCCATGTTCAGTCAATGAGTATTCAGTGCATCTCAGCAGAGCTGCCAGTTTTCCCTGCACACAACTGACACCCGCTGACGTCACGTGTCCGTGTGTATGGAGCTCTGGTCTGGTGCACAGTGCACAGCACAGTGATGTTAAGTCGCACGCGCAATGCAATAGCGAATAAAGGTACCTTTTCATGATGGCGAAATAAAGCTTACATAACTGAACAATTTAATGAATTTTACAATAACTGGTAATAACTACTAAACAATTATTTTACAATAATAATTGTCCCTTTCGATATACTTGCGTCACAGTTATCGTAAATACGGTACACACGTTCCGGTAGACTTGCAGAAGTTTATGTGTGTAGTCGGCTTAACGCCGAAATTAAAGTCGAGTCAACATGAAAAGACACCTTCTTTAAGCAGCATTGCGCAGGGAAGATTCTGCATTCTGAAACTGTTCAAAAAATTTACAATCCTGTTATCGTCTGCGAATGCTTGAGATTTTACAGGAATAAAATAATAAAGATTTATTCAGATAAATATGTATAATTACATAATGCAACTTGACCAATGCAATCAAACATATTTAATTAAATATAATAATAATTTAATTAAATAATTCAATATATAATAATTATCATAATACGTATTTTGAATAATAAAGTCATATTAAAATTTTATTGAAATATTGTACATATTTTAAAAATCTCTATTTAAAAAAGATGAAAGATATAATGTAGAATGTTGATAATTAACAAAAATACGTTTTACTGAAATATTAATTGTCTTTTATTGTACATATATGAGTTATTTTCCAATCATCCGCAAGTAAATACGACTGTCTGACGAATCAGTCGCTATATTGGTCAATATTAGCGGGAGAATTGCCATTGCATAGTTTCGGAAGTATACAAATAAGCACTAACAATCAGGCACCACCAACAAGTTACCAATAATCAGCACTCGTTAACGTTATATGTAACAAGATTAAGCTATTTACTTAAGTAAAAAATAGATATGGATGAAATATTAAAAAGCTATAACTGTTTATGGATAGTCTCTATGCAGTCGTGGAGACTAGTTATGCAACCATATCTGATGTTTTACATAGGAATTAACATTAGAATAGATGGTATCTTCAGCCTCTTTAGTAATTCCATATTTGTATATATGTGTGCTATAAATTATTAACTTTACATATTGTCAATATATATATCAATAATGCGTGATATATATATTACAACATGTATTTCTCTTATATAAATGTTGTGCTCCATTGTCAGCAAAAGAAAAATATGATACATTTTTAAAGATATGTCTAACTCAGGAATTCTAAAATACCATTATATCACTTGATCATCATCAAAACCTAGTAAACATTCCTGACAAAATTTGGCATCTGGGTAGGCCATCGCAACGCATAACGAGCCCTTGATATATAACATTTCTTTTGTATTATAGAACAAAAAACAAAAATATTCATAATTGCAAACATTGTTAATCTTATATGAACAATATGTACAATTATAAAAAAAACAGCCTTCATGTATATGACGTGCTGGAAGGATGCACGTGGAATAAATATTTTACACATTGTGCTCTTTGGAAGAGTTTCTTAGTGAATAAATTATAGTCATAATCGCGACTATAATCATAGATTTAATTTTAATTAATCATATAAATTATCATAATCTCCTTCAATCTCACAATATTTCTATCGCAAAAATAAATATTTAGAATTAATATTTTAGTAAATATTATTTCCACGTATAAACAGATTTGTCAAACAAACAGTCGATATTCTTAAAAGATGAATACGCAGTGTTGTGTTCTCTACATTATATTTTTAAATTCGGATTTTCAGGCTTAGAATTCAGGTTGAATCCATCTTAAAGATTTGTCGCTGTTTCTTTTCTGTTCGCTATTAAAATTAGTGGAGTTTGTACACTGCATATTCATCTTAAAAGTACAAAAATAAAAAAAATAAATAAAATATGTATTAATTCAATGTTAGTGTTCTTTTTTTGAGCTGTTTAAATTGCCATTCACATTGCGCTGCGTTTTTCGAAGATGAACACAAGACCGTACACAGTGCCAGACGTTTCTTCCTGTATCTACCAAATTGCAAACTATTAAGGACGGCGATTCGAACTCATTAGGAACAATACCATCGACAGACGACTCGAAAAAACTGAATAGTGGAAACCAAATCCTGGTTCTAATCGAATCGCGCTGCATCAAGGCTTGATTATTCGCCAGCGTATGATAATAAAGAAATAATCGAGAAGTTATATAAAACGCTACAAAAACATCGATAGAATAATGCTCATGTGCCGCCAAGATGAAGAAGATACCAAACATGTTGAGCATCCATGTAAAAGTATGCAAAAAATACAAATGTCTCGGAGTATCTGTAATGAAAAGAAGAATCTCATAATTTGTAAATATTAAAATCAGCTGTTTTAAAGTGAAATAATAAATATTTACTTACACTCCGTAATGAAAAAATTTAGCATAGTTAATGCCACTGTATGCCCACTAAACATATAATCCCCACAAGTTCTGACACCTTGAATAGACATGCCGGCTCCCCGCCAAATAACATAAGCCATCGCTATTTTATTATACAACTCGACATATGCAGAACTAAAATGAGAATTTAATATGTAATATTTGCACTTTTAGACGGAAAAATATTACAATGTAATTAATATCTCACCTGGACCAGTCTTCATCTGGAACTTTTCGTGGCTGACATTGCAGATGTGCACCTGGTACTGATAAAGAAGTGATGAGCATGGTTACGCATCTCAGTAGGAAGACTGTACCCGACAGTGCAAAAAATCTCCGTAGCAAAATAAATCTGTTGTATATTTAAAAAATTATTTTCACATCAATGAATTATATCCTTTCCCTTATATTTTTTAAAGTAGGTTTAATTACCTATACTTGTGAAATATAAGCACAGCAAGCCATATCGCAAAAAGCAGAGTTCCAGTAACTTCACACATATCAAATGCCCATGGAATATGGGGTACATTATCTAAAAATATGTCTGGCAAAGGAGGATACTTTTTCATATCAGGTACTCGATCGTGAACAATGACCATTACAAAGGCAGTAATCCATGTGACGATAAACAAATATCCCAAACTAATGAACGTCTTCCAAATTTCAGGTGGTAAATGAGAAGCATGTCCATCTTCGGACACAGAAGCTGAATAAAATTCATGCTCTGTGGATGTTTCATTATTTGTACCTGTACCTGTACTGGGCATCTGAAAATAATTACAAAATATAATATTTCCACATTCGACTAAAACTTGCAGATTTCTTTTTAAGAATCATGTATTTACTTCATGCTTATTCTGATGAGTATAAAAATTTGGCGATGGAAATAAATCCACATATCCCAAGTCGAATAAAGCAGCAATGTTATCCCTTTGCAACTGCTTAATAGCAAGATATAATTTTTTTATAACGCCAATCTTTCTTATCTTCAAGATATCAGATTTTAAATCTTCTTCCTTCAGTGTCAGAAGTACTTTCCCATCAACTTCATGATTGTAAAATAGAGTTGCACATTCATCGAAATCATTTTTCATAAGCCATTCCATTACATCAGCAGGTGTCCACTCGACAACGTTTTTTAACGACATATTAGTGTTGTTGAAATATATTTATCCTGCACAAAAAAATGTACAAGTTGACATAATAACCTACTAAAATTGTTATAATATAAATATTACTTCAATACAATGTATAAAATAGATGAGTCAAATAAATAATTAAAAAGAGAAATTACTTGTCGCAAAGTAATGTTCTTACCGATTAATTATAAGAAAGCTAGATACAAAAAACAACGAGGCAGTATGGACTTAACCTCGCATCTAAGACTGACGAATCGCCTACCTAAAGAAAAACCGTGTGCCATAACCGTTGATGTTTTATCAGAACATTTTCTTATGTTTGACATGCACACCACCATTACATAACTATTTTTATCAAAGTAAATTATACGTCGGCAGTGCAGTATTTGTGTACAACGTTAACACGCACAACGGAGTCATCGATCGCGAAATAACGTGAACGTTTACTAATTACTGGCACCGTACTATGCGTCCTCATTTAACCGTATTCGATGCAACAATACGATTATTATATTGCACCGTTAGAAAAATATTAAAGCACGAGTTTGCTCGGTAAAAAGGCAGGCGATATTCTCGCTACTGTTGCTGCACGAAAATGCAATGAAATGAATAACAATGTTCTCGAATGACACGATTCAAAACAGTGTATAAAAGTGACTCACTTTTCATGATAACATTATTAGTCATGAAACATTATTTTTTGTCACTTACATTTATTTACTTGTGACTTACAATTATTTATAAGTTGCATGTAACAAATTGAAAACATTTAAACTTGAAAAAAAAACAAGAAAGAATATTCTTGAAAGATTTGAAAAAATATTTGAAACGAGTGATTATTTTTATGACTCATGTTTTCAATTAATTTTTTTATCGTGTATCGTTTTTAATCTAATCGCATATTTTGGAGTATAAAACTCTTGAAGATCCACTTTTGAAAGCAATTGCAATTTTTGAAACTTGGGGATTATTTCTTGTAAAAAATAATACATAATGGCTGCGAGACAATGACCTTAAGTATCTAGAAATGCTCTACTTATAGAGACAAACACGTTCTTTATGAACCGGATGCATTTACAATTGCCCCATAGGAATATTTTTGTCCTCATCCCACGACCCTTCCCACTTCAAATTGGGCGAATTTCAGACTGTACGATACGAAAACCGTTGTTTCTTATCTGCAAACTTATCTTCTATGCGTGATTCATTGTCAATAAAAATACCTTACTCTTGAGGTTACATGCTTGTTAAAAAAATAATTGCTATTTATGCGAGTGATAAAAAAACACGAGGTTTGTTTGTTATGCTATTTAGTTTTCTTCTTTTTCCTATTATACTTTGCTCCTTATTTTCAACGAAAAAAATATAAGAAAGTTTTAATAAATCTTTCAGCTGTACTTTTTCAATATCCTTTGCAACTATTTAATTAACTATTAATTAATAATCGTAAATTTAATTTTATTTTTGTTAAGTAAATTTTAATATTACGTATTACGAAAAGATGAGAATAATATTATATATCTTCATAACTTTTAAATAAATATATCCGACCACTGGGATATTTACAAATGCAAACTGGTACACAATAGAAAGAAAAAGGATAGAAGCGTGATTAAAAGAAATAGATTTAATAGATTTAATGAACAAATTGTCGTGGAAGTTTATTCGCCTCAATTCGCTTGTAGGCCAAATATTTTTTTTTTCGTCGTGGCAAGATGCGCACGACGCGATGGTCTTCGTATAGCGTGTAACCTGTTTTTTTTTCATACCGGTGCATTCTTCCGGCGGGACGTTGGTCGACGTCATCAACGGTCATCATCAACAACGCCAGTCCACGCCAGTCGTCGTTCGTACGTCAGTGCCGGTAGTGCGAGCGAAGCAAGTGAGATTAGTGCTGAGTTGGCAGTCTTGGCGAGACAGTCCCGCTAACTGTTGATTTGCATGTCGTACGGCACATACGTGAATCCGCAGCGCGAGCCCGGATAATGTTACGAATGAATGTACTTAAACGGTCTACTTAAAACAACGTCGCAGTACTTAATGAGCGATGAGCGGACAGAAGTTCCAGTATGACGAGAGCGGAGGGACATTTTTTTATTTTCTGCTCTCATTCTTGGCGCTATTGCTGGTACCAGGAACCTATTACCTCTGGCCACGTTGCCCGAAGCAAGGTTAGAGATCACGATGAACTCCATTTACAAGCGCGGCGACGATCTTATCATTCCTTCGCCAGACGAGTACTGTCTTTGATAGCAATTATGCATCGTACCTTTGTGTTCTCTTATCAGGGCGCATCAAACTCGCCCAATTTGGGAGACCAAAAATATTTGATGTTACCTGATGAGTTCTATATATTAATTAATTACTTTGATTTTAATACATAGAGAATATGTATTTAAATGTTTAATGCTGCTTGATTGTAAGAATAATATTTAATTATGAATGACAAAAGCATAAAAAGTTATCTCAAGCTTGATAATGAAATTCAAGAATGTGCAAACAATGAATTATGTATGTTAATAATCTTTTCAATATTATTCAGATCCTGACCAGTTAGCCAAAGAGTGCACGTGTAATGGGTGCAGAAAGAAAAAAGTTATTCTTCAGGCAAATAAACCTTGGAAGGAAACTAAAGCTTTATTTACGTAAGTTTTTATATATTGTTTTTGTGATTTAAATTATAAATGCAAGATGATAAGAATCATATGTATCCTTTATCATATTTATCACAATTATCCTCTAGATAATTGATTTTATGTAATTTATGTGATTATAAGTTGGTATAAAATTATGTAATTATTACAGGAAATTTTTAATTATCTTGGGATGGGTTATCTTGATATTCTTAGCATATAAAGTATCTCAATTTGATTATGAAATGGCCAATTTTGATCCATATGAAATATTAGGTGTACCACCTGTAAGTATATAATAAAATTTTTATTATATATGGTTTGCATATATATATATATAACAAAAATTAATGCTAATTGTAGGGTTCTTCACAAGGTGAAGTTAAGAAAGCTTATCGCAAGCTTTCCTTGATTCTTCATCCTGATAAAGAAACTGGAAATGAAAAAGCCTTTATGAAATTAACCAAAGGTAAGGAACAATGAATAAATTTGTATTATAATATATTTAATAAATTTATAGCACATATATTGCATACAGTGTAATAAGGCAGGAACAATAAAGGCCATTAGAATATTTGCACTTAAAATTAATTATATAACATTATATAACATTAATTCTTGAAGTTATATTAAACTTATATAACTACTAATATTTTAAATTTTGATTTAAACTAATTGTATTATTTTTTTTACTAACAAAAATAGCTTATCAAGCTTTGACGGATGATGAAGCACGAAAAAATTGGGAAAAATATGGAAATCCAGATGGTCCAGGGGCAATGAGTTTCGGTATAGCTTTGCCTTCCTGGATAGTTGAAAAAGAGAATTCAGTATGGGTGTTAGGACTGTACGCATTGGTGTTTATGGTTGCTTTACCGACAGTTGTAGGAATGTGGTGGTACAAGAGTATCCGCTACACTGGTGATCAAGTAATTGGTATTTCTATGCCGAAAAGAGTTTTTATACGTAACAAACTGTTAATTGTTATATGTATCTATGCTTATTTTTAGGTTCTTCTAACAACAACTGAAATGTACTACTTTTTTTTTGTGAAAACGCCTTCTATGTCATTGAAGAGAGTCATTATGATACTCGCCGCTTCCTTTGAATTCTTTAAGAAACGGAATGCAGAGATAGTTGAGAGACATACTGACAGCGAAGAGGTTCCTTCGGTATGTATTGTACTCTATTCATCTTCTTAATAGTTTTTAGTTGTGCAACAATTTTATAGAATTCACAGTAAGAACATATTTTTGCATATGTATTTCAGCTCATCAAGCAGCTACCTAATTTAGGGGAAAAAAACAAAGAAGTACCCCTATGCCACTTGTATTCAATTAAAGCTAGAGCCTTATTGCATGCACATTTATCACGTATACAACTCAATCCTGAGACATTAGAGAAAGATAGGCAATACATCGTAAAGAAGTGTCCATATCTGATTCAAGAAATGGTCGCCTGTGTCCATCAAGTAATACTTTTAGCTTATGCTAGAAGAGGTAACCGTTGGTTTTGTTTCTAATATTAATCATTTTGTGACATTTACATAGACGGAATAGATATGTGATTAATCAAAATTTTTTTTATAGTTCCACGAGTTCCAACTATAACAACTGTGGAGAACTGTATGAAATTATGTCCAATGATCGTCCAAGGATTTTGGGAGTTTAAAAATCCTCTCCTTCAATTGCCACACATAACTGAGGATAACCTAAAATACTTCCACGCGAAAAAGGTTGCTAGAGCTAGAGCGAATTCTATCTTAATGTTTTTATTAATACCGATGAAAATCTGAAATACTGAATGCGTGACTTTTCATTAGCGTCAAATCAAAAGTCTTCAACAATTCGCACAATTGAAAGGAGAAGAACGAAGACTGATACTTAGAAATCTGTCGGACAGTCAGTATGATAATGTTATGAAAGTTCTCGGAAGTATGCCGTACATAGACTTCAAAGTGCGATCTGAAGGTAATTTATCATTGTATGTTATTTCTATAAAACTTACATTAATTAAAGTAACGTAAGTTGTACATGTATTCTTTATAATTTTTTACTCATATGTGCTTTTAGTAATTGATGATGAGAACCCTACTGTCTATACTGCTGGTGCTATAGTAACTGTAACAGTATCGTTAACACGAAGAGATATGAAGCATCTTTTTGGAGATGATTCTGTCAACGAGCAAAATATCATCGACGATAATAAACTCTGCGGTGAAACGGTTGACGAGGTGTCAGAGGAACAAAACCAATCGAAAGCTGCAAAGCCGGCGTGGCTTAAGCAAAAGAAAGGTCAAAAGAAATCGCATAAAAAGGGTACTAGCAAAAAGCCAGCGCCTGCTAAAAATACGCAGGCACAGTCGCAGACTGTGGCCAATAATACTCAGCACAGCAATACTCCGAATGCGAAAAAAAAGGATAACGATAAGGTGGAAAAAGAGTCTTCCAAGGAAAAGTTGTCCGATGTCAGTGACAGCGAAGCAGAGAGTGACAGAAGTGACGACGAGGATAGCCACGATAAGAAAGACACGTCACTTGACGATGACGATACAGAATGGGAAAAGTAAGCAAGAATACTTTATTTCTGCATGGAAAAAAAGAATTTGTTGGCACGACAAATTTTACGTTGTCGTAGCAAAATATGAACAGCAAAGAGATTTGTTAAGGATTCTAATTTTTTTGCTGATATTTCGAGTAATTTGAAAAATTAGTTATGGCAGTGAAATTTTGTCACTCACATTTAATATGCAATAGCAATGACGATTTCGCTGAGATAGCAAAAATTAATTTGTGCATTATATGAAATTATTGTTGTCTACATAATTCTCATTTATGTCAGAACTTTATCAACATTTCTTTTTTATTCCAACAGATTCCAACAGAGGATTTCTAAACGGGAGAAAGTACTGGAGGGAAGGAGTAACCTGTCGCACGACGTACATAGTCCATTCTTTCCCGATGTTAAACAAGAGTACTGGTGGGTCTATATCTGTGATCGCAAAAGTCAAACGCTGTTAACAACCCCTATACACGTCACATCACTAGCAGAGTTTGAGGAGGTTCAATTAAGATTTACGGCACCACGTTGGCCAGGCCTTTATACGTTTACTGTGTGTTTACGTAGCGATTCGTATCTGGGCTTTGACCAGGCTCAAGATATTAAAGTGAGTTTTTTTCAAATAACCACGAAGAATCTTTTTATGACTTACAATAATCTGACGATTGCTTTGCAGTTGGATGTGAAAGAAGCACCGGAAGTACCAACGGAGCATCCGCAGTGGGACATCTCGGATGAGGAAACTGCAGAGGATGTGGACGCAGTTGATGAACATTCCGAGTTCACGACCGACGAGGATATTAGTGACAATGAGTAATATCTGTTTCTCACGTGTGATCGAAATAGATATTCTAAAAGTCCGCATTTTTCTCTTTTTTTACTTCTCAAGTTTAATGTACAATGGACTTTTATACATGGAATTGCATAATCGTTGATGTATGTGGACAATCTAGGAAAATAGTCTGGTGTGTAAGATTTGTCAGTGTGGAGAAAGTAATAGCGAATAAAGAACATAATATTTATTTTAACATCGTTGTTCAATCCTCAATTTGAGTGTGTTTCTCAATTGGGAGATGTGTACATACAGTTTTCTAATAAAATATATCTTATTGTACAAAAAGTAACATTCACGTTAATGTATCTCTCTCGTTAGAATTGTGTTAATCGAACGTTTTCCTCCACGATCCAGCGACAAAGTACATGAATAACAGTTACAAGATGTAGGTTAAACGAAAGTGTAGTAAGAAATAGATGCGCACAAAGAATCGCTCAACCGTTGCATGTACTTTTTTGTTACAAATGCAATGAACTTAAAACACCTGTTCATTCATCACAAGAACAGTCAACAGAATAATCACCGACTGAACAGACATCTGGCATACATTAATTGTAAAAGCAGTGAGGATATCATTTTGTACGATGCAGGTGAGTACATAACAATTTTTATTATAAAGTATTTTACAGTTATAAAGTTTTATTATAAAGTTATTAAACATTTAAGTCAATTCTATTACATTTACAACTCTATATTTTAGATATTTAAGGGCTACTTTGTTCTCTACGTTTTGTTAAACATAGTTCTAAATATCATTGCGCTTCAGAAGGGTAAGTATTGGAGAAAAAATTATAAAAATAAGAGTTAACAAAATTTTGTGCATATAATCATTCTATCTTCATAATTAAATCACGATTTATATATTTTATGCATATTTCTTTCACAGCCATGTATAATAGCTTTTATAAAATCGACTCCAAACACATTGATCGTATCGTCTGGAGCCGGCTTAGCTTAAAAATTACCGACTTCCGAACTTTGAAATAATCAAATTGCTCGTTTTAGTTTGAAAGACATTTTGTTTGATATATATTGTACATAGAAAATACTTTTCTCTAGTATATAATAGACGCATGTGCAGGATATCTACAAATTTAGTTTTATAAGATAAATTTTGCCTTCTTATAACAGAAAATATATAAAAATAAATCAGCAAAACATGCTATTTTTTATAAAAAATAAATTTACAAATATCCTGAAGCAAATATATTTCTTAGGTCAGAACGATAGATATGAAGCAACAAAATTGGAAGAATTCTTCAATAAGCCTGTTTACACATTTGTTAAAACTGATAAACATGCGAATATAAAATGGGGTGTGCGGCATTATGTTCCACGCACATTGAGGTAAACAGACTTTGACCATTGAATATATCAAAATAAAAAAAGTGTAATGTTAGATTGCGCGATAACTGAACAGATAAGTACACTGATTTGTAATTATAGATCCAAATTGACCACTTCAAGATACATTTTCTGTATTTCAGCTATTAAGTTTTCCATCCTAAAAAAATGAACTCAAGATAAATCTGTCCTAAAATTGAAGAATATTGTAACAAGAGGAAACTTACATGTGGCGCATGACCAAGTTGTCATATATCACGTTGTCTTCTGACTGGATGACCTTATCTAATTCAGTGGCGAAATTTAAAGATTGATTAGTACCCTGCTGAGAAGCAATATTAGCATCCAGTTGTGCGATTTTCTGATATTGCATCCAATATAATTTCGTCATGACAGTAACCGAATTGAATATCTTTTCCAGCTTTGACAGTCCGTCCTGCAGCTTATCTACTTGCCTATTAAAAATACATATATATGTCCATCATATAAAATCTTAGCTTAGAATCTTCACGATGCATAATAAAATATATTATTCATCACAAACATATTTTTAATACCTCGTAATATCAATGATATTTGGATCACGAAGTTGTGTTATGCGTGTATTCAAAAAAGTAAACAATAATTTTACCATGTTCAATGCTTTTACTGGTTTATGAATACTTTCTTTTCTAAATTCTACATACTCCTCGCACATCTTATCGTACCTATAAAAATATTAAAATACAATACATTTTATAATTATTTATAAAAATCAATCACACATTATATTGCTTACTTACAGTTGCGATAAATTCTTCACGCAATCGATATTTTGAGCTTTATCTCTTAATTTATCATTATCTTCCTTCAAGGACATGAAACTTATTTTTATTTGATTAGCTGCGCTAATTAATTTGTCAACTTTGTCAAAATAAACCTGTAATGCTACCACTTTGTCAGTCGTGCTTTCACTTGTCATATTTTCATATTTTGCCCGAAATGCATTTACTTGGTCTATGAGCTTTTTTGTATTTTCCAATGTCTTCTCCATGTTTAAGTGAAACAACTCGATTTTTTGATGTAACAAATCTCTAAAATACATAAAATATTATACATCATTTGGTGATTGTAACAATACAATAATTAATAATAATGTTATATAGGAAACTCACACATTTATGCTAAGAGCAAAAATGTATAGTTGAAATAAATTCACTTCCTTTTTCACGAAATATATTGTATAACGGTAATGATTATTCAATACTTCATAATTTAATTCATTTTTTGGTTCTATCATAATCTTTTTCACTTCTATAGGAATATCCGGAGCGGGTATATCTTCTATTAAACAACATCCATTTCTGAAGAGAAATAAAACGTGATCCTACAGCAAAATCATAATAGATTTATAAAGTGTTTTAATTTGCGACATCATATGGATATAAGTTAAATATACATACCTTAGTTTGTGAAAGGAGTGATGCACCACTTTTCATTAACACAGCACCATTGTAATCAGTTAATACCTGATGATTGACTTGAATGTTAGTATCTTTTTCTATTAATAATTGAAGATCTTTGATAGTAGTGTTTCTATCAATTTCGTATGTATTAATTTTGTAAAATGGCACACAGAAAACATACAGTATCTATATACAAAACATATAAATTAAAAAAAGTACAAGAGGAAAAATGTTTAATTTCTATACATACATACTTTCTTTGATAATATACGTTGTAGCATTGTGAATACCACTAAATGGGATGTACCAAACTCATCACATATTTTACCTCTTTTGTGTGGATCCCATTGTAAAACTAGCCTAAACCATTGGATCATTTCGCTTCTGAGAAAACTGAAAGGAAAATATATATAAATTAAAAGTAATATAATGCATGAAAAGATTGCTAAGCAAAATTACATAAGAAAAACAGATTCCTTTTTCAAAAATAAGATATTTCAGAAATATGTTGCGTATAAGCTGTGATAATTTATTATAGAAAAGATATACAATATATTCTTACTTTGATAAATGAGTCGGATTCTGAATGTCTTTTCCAAAAATGATTTTTCCTTCTGCTTCATAAGCACAAATATCCTCATAGCTTTTATTTTGAATATGTTTCATCCTATGAAATAACATTAAATTAATAATTTAATAAATCATTTTCTACAAACATATTCCATCACATTCATTACTTCTTACCACTCCATAGTATGTTGCATTGTCGGCAAAAATGGTCTTATTCCAGTTACAAGTTCATAAAACAATATTCCTAAACTCCAGTAATCAACAGAACAACTGTACTTCTCTTTCCACAAAAGTTCTGGAGCAACATAATTTAGTGTGCCAACTAGAGAGGCAGATATACTCGCTTCTCCAAGTTCTTTAGCATATCCAAGATCTATTAACTTGTATGATATCTGTAATATAAAAAAGTTCAACTGGTTAAAACAATATAATTTATTAGCAACTTAGCAGAGATGATTTTATAATTATCTTACCATATTCTTTTCACTTTGCAAAACTATGTTCTCTGGCTTTAAGTCTCGATGAGTTATATTACAAGAATGTAAGTATTCCACAGCTGACAAAATTTCACTCATTATCTTAATTGCTTCAGTTTCATTAATCCCACAACAGTTTTCTGGTTGATTTAAAACCTACAAAGAATATAAAGCATATTGTTATTATTTCATTAATCAATGCATAAAAGTTATAGAATTCATATAACAGCTTATATTAAATACCTTTCTCAAATCTCCTTTCTGGCAGTATTCCATGCACAGAATCGGCAATTTCTCATCTACACTCGAAATGTCGGACGGAATGTATTCTGTTTTCACAATATTTGAATGCTTTAGACGTTTCATTATATCAACTTCGTTGATCCATCTTTTTCGTTGTATTGGCGTTAATTGTGAGTATTCCCATTTGCATTTTTTAATTGCTAAATTGTAAGTACAAATTTTATTGTTATAATTTTTATTATCATTATTGCACTGCATTATAAATTGTATATATATGAAATTTCTTGTAAAAAAAATCTCTTAAGGTATAAATATTATTTATGTTATAGTCTACCAAGTTTTTTGCCACTTTGGACATGCACCCAAAGTTCAACAGTTCCAAAACCTCCCGTGCCAAGAATACGACTTAATTTCCAGTCACTTGACATAGTGGACGTCATTTCGAGTTTGTGAAATAATTCGTTTTAATTTGTATCAAATCGAAGACTGGACGATCCTTAGTAAATGTCAAATCTCACTGATAAGGTAAACGGTGATAAGATTACCTCTATTTTTTTCATAAAAAACATTTCACAAATGAAAAATAAATCTACTTTAATTTAATATTACTTAATATTATTTCTTACTAAAAAAATATATATTATTTAAAAATTTAATTTATACGTAACACGCAATTCACTGCATTGTGACATTCGTATTAATTTGCATATGTATTGCGCTTTATAGCAACATGGCTCCTTTACAATGGACGATATATTGGTTGATTTCTCTGTACGCGATTATGTAAGTTTCTAAATAGACCTTTAGATTAATATTTTATTTGTTGTTTAAGGCCGAATTCCCACTAAGCGCGTCACGCGCGGCGTCATCCGTCGCGTCACGAATTAACCAATCAAAACATCCCATTTTATCGCGCGGCAAATGATGCGTAAAATGGGATGTTTTGATTGGTTAATTCGTGACGCGGCGGATAACGCGACGCGTGACGCGTTCAGTGGGAATTCGGCCTAAGTTCTTTCAGACATACTGGTTGGCTTTCAGAACAAAAATTCTAGGGATTTTGGTAATTTTCTATCGATAACCATCATCTGACGTATTTTTGAGGTATGTAAAGTTATCTTCAAACTGTACATTTATAAAACGAGTTTATGATCTAGAATTTTTCAAACTCATGGGTTATAAAACCGTTGCAATTTTAAACTTTTTGCAATTATCATTAATATTATATATATATGATGAAAGAATTGATTAACTTTTGAACAAATCAATTTTTTGCAAGAAATGTTCGTAAGTATTTGTAAAGATGTGATATAAGCCAACTATAGATAAAATAAATTAACAAAATAGGCTTTATCTTGACCCATAAAAGCTTATATTATTTATGTTATTCATGTTTTTTTTTCTTCAAAATTGACTATAGGGTGGAATACTCCTGAAAAATACATATGGAAGAATATTCCGATAAAATACATATATCGCTGACTGCGGGGACTAAAAGTGTCTGCTAACACTCGTATTATTGCGCCTGCGAAAATTCATCCCGCCGTTTAGCACCTCTACAGCACATCTGTACAGATGGCTGAAATCTTCAAAAACGGTACAGTGCGGAGAAGCGAAAGTTTGGTTACTTTTCTGGTTTGTGGCAATACAAAATTATGGTTATATTCTTTCATACTTTACATGTTTTCGAAAATATAAGCAAAAGCTGTTTTCGATGTGCTATGGAAATTTGTTTACATTTGTTTCAGTTTTAACTTTGAACTTATCAAGAATTAATTATTTCTTAATTACTTTTTAATTGTAAGAGACAAATATTAGTTTTGGCATTTTTTGAAGATTTAATATGGATGTGTACATATTTGATTTCAAAGAAAATGATATGTATTTTATGCATCTTTTGTCTGTCAACAATATTTGATATGCATTTCTTGTTACAAATGCACTTATACAAAATATATTTTCAGGTAGTAGGACCGTCTGCGTTATGTCACAGGATATCGCAGGGTTTGTTTCAGAGTGCAAAGGAAAGAAGATGGTATATTAATGTACACAAGTGTGAATCTATCGACGATGTTGTAAAAGCAAGATTAAATATTTATGTGGATTTTATTATTATTGCTTTTGATTCAAGAGCTACATACACTTTGTTTGAAGTAAGTCTTTATTTGCAAATACTTTTTTAATGTAACTTTATATTAAAGAAATTTTATTATTTTTAGTGTATTACTTATAATTTACTATTGATTAATTAATCATTTTTAAGGTGGAAGATACTATAACTAAAATAGATGAATTTTATGTAATCTCTGGTGCAATTTGCTTAGTAAATTGTATTGGAGTATCCCACGTTGTAGGAATGATTCGCAAGTCAAAAGAACTTTGTCACAAATACAATATTCGTTTTCTTTCTGCTAATATTTTCGTAAGTCTATATTTAGAGATTATTATAGTTGAGATACATTATAGTTTATATATTTAAAACTTATTATTTTTATAGAGTGCGCAAGATTGTGTCCATTTAGGAAGCAGAATATTAAATGTGACAGAGGGATTATTGGGATTGAGTACTGGTATACCAATTATTGGGACAGTGGTGGAATATAATTGAGGTATAATAAAATTTTACATAAAGTGATACATTTCATAATATGTACTGCATTTTATTTGAAGACATTACTTATTGAAAAATTGATTTGAATGTACTTTCTTTTGTATAAATGAACAAAGTTTAATCTTTGTATCAAGAATTAATTATTCTTTAAGATAATTTAAAATTATAAGATAAAACTTGCTTTGTTCCAACAATTTGATATTTTATCTTATTTTTTGTTTTCAAATAAAGTGCAATCATATATTACCAAAAAATTAGTATGTGAAATTATTATTAATTGTAATAATATTACTTAGGCTACTGAAATATCAAAATGAAAAAATCCAGTGGCAAGCCTCAGACATATGCCTCTAGTCAGGAAGACAGTGAGAATGACAGCGATGTAACTGAATGTAGCATTGGAAGCAACTCCACTGCAGGTACTCATCGCAGTGATACACCCACTCGCAGCGCTCGTTACAAGCGGAAAGGCCGTCGCAGAAGTAAAACCGCGAAGTATAAGCCTTCCATGGATAAGCCATTGTATAAATACTGTTGTAGTGTTAAGGAGGATCATGGACAGCCATTGTTCGGTGTACAATTCAATTATCACTTGAAAGAAGGCGAACCGTTGATATTCGCCTCAGTGGGCAGCAATCGTATGAGTATTTACGAATGTCCACAGAGTGGAAACATACGATTGTTGCAATGTTACGCCGATCCTGACACAGAGGAGAACTTCTACACGTGTGCCTGGACGTACGATGACTCCGGGAAGCCGTTGTTAGCTGTCGCAGGATCGCGCGGAGTCATTCGAGTTATCAGCCCTGCAACAATGACCTGCATCAAGCACTACATCGGACACGGGCACGCGATAAACGAATTAAAGATTCATCCGAAGGATCAGAACATAATGCTATCCGCATCGAAGGATCACGCTCTAAGGTTGTGGAACATTAAGACGGATGTGTGCATCGCGATTTTTGGTGGCGTGGAGGGCCACCGGGACGAAGTTCTGAGCGCCGATTTTGACATATTGGGCCACCGGATTATCTCCTGCGGGATGGACCACGCTCTCAAGTTGTGGGCTTTGGACAAACCGGATATGCAGGAGGCGATAAAGCAGTCCTACCATTGCAATCCCAGCCGCAATGGCAGACCCTTCGATTCGATTCTTCAACACTTTCCGGACTTCACCACTCGTGACGTTCATCGGAATTACGTCGACTGCGTGAAATGGTATGGCGATTTTATTTTGAGCAAATCTTGTGAGAATTGCATCGTATGCTGGAAACCTGGCAGACTCGAGGACTCGCAGTTGCGTAGCGGAGAGACGAGCGCGACAGTCATGCATCGTTTCGAGTTTAAAGAATGTGACATCTGGTTTATACGTTTTTCCATGGACTTCTTTCAACGCACAATCGCATTGGGAAATCAGGTTGGTCGCACATATGTTTGGGACTTGGACATGGGTGAACCCGCACATGCTCGTTGCTGCTCTCTCCAGCATCCTCGTTGTACCGCGCCGATTCGGCAAACTAGTTTAAGCCGAGATGGCTCGGTGTTGTTGTGTGTCTGCGACGACGCGACTATCTGGAGATGGAATCGCGATCATTGACTTGCATTCATTTTATCATGATTAAAACGTGCCTTTTCTACATTATATATTATATCAAATTTCTTAATTTGATACAATTTCTGAATTGTACTTTTATATGCACATACCATGAACGCATATCTTTGCAGATTTTGCGTAGATCGTTCTTGTGTATCAAACTGTGCTGAGTATTTCTTATAGTTTAACTTGAGTTTGACTTTATCAATCTATTAAAATTAATTCAAAATCTTCAAAGATGTGCATTTATAGTATATAAACATATGTGTGATTGAGAAATTTATATCAAATTATTGAAAATTGAAATATGTAAATTTCTTGACTAATTTTTAAATTTCTCAATTAACAATTTAGATGTTGTAATTTGCATTTTTTATCATTGCGTTTTCTAATAATTTGAGATTAACATTATGATAAGAAATGTAAATTATAACGGTAAAGTTGATAATTGAGAAGCAGTCTAATTATTTAAAATTTTTAAATTTAACAATTATATACAGATACAATTCCTCATAAATTTACTAAGAAAAGAATTAATTAAAAATCTTCAAACATACATTTTTGTAGTATATGTACATATATGAATATTCGAGGAGTTGTATCAAATTATCGACTTAATTATTTTAGGCTGTAGTCTATTTGATGCTATAAATGCTTCTAAGCATTTTTCTTTCTTTATTGAAAGGAAAGAAGAACGCTTCGAAACACTTTGCATCAAGTGAATCTAGGATTTACAATGGGAAAGTCATTACGCAAATATCTTTAGAATTTTTATATTTAATACGTAAATGAATGAGAGCATAAGATATGGGAAACATTTTTATATATTTGCAGTATTTTTTGGTATTGTGGTATTTTTTCTTATATATATAATTGCATTTAATCAATTATACCACAATTTTAGCGCCAAATGTAATCTAATTTTCCAATTGGACAATGTATAGTTGGCATCATTGTTCGAATATCTTTGGTGAGCAATATCTTCTATTCCAGACTTGTTCCAATACATTAAAGGTTAGTATAAGTTAGGTTAAGCTCTATAGCAACCATCTGCAGCATTTTGGCAGTGCCAATTTTATATCTTTGTAAAAATAAAATAAATAATCAGTCATTATTCGTATTATTGGATAATAATTTTCATCTTTAGTATTTTAAGGAATTGTTTTGATATCTATTTCATATTGAACAGTTGGCAGCATCAAATCTACGTGACAGATTGCTATTCGTTTATCCGAATTTCATTATGTATATGTATTCAACCGTTTCTGCCACATATGATATCTTAAGTGTATTAGATATGTGAATATACACGTTACACGTGTCGTACGTTGTAGTTTTATAAGTTGCGGATAAATTATTATAGAAAAATATATTCTAAATTGCATAGCAACTAACACATAAGGTAAGTTATTTTCTTTTAAATCATATATGGGTGAAAACTTTATAATGAATATGTTTTTTCGTGAAAAATATTGTACATTTTAAAATTCACATTTTTTGCAGATGAGAGCTTTATTAATTGTTAGTCTGTGTTTGATGACCGTTTTTACGGCATCTGCAGAAATTGATTTTAAACATTTGAAATGCTTGGGTAAAAATCAGTTAATTTATAACAATCTTATTACAATTTAAATTAAATTTACGAATGGGTGAGTGATTATTGTATCTCATAGTTTGTAGGACAACTATGAAAGAATTGGAGGCTGAAGTATCTAAAGCTAATCCCAACAAAGTAGTCGAAGTAGGTAGTTTTAGAATGGATGCTAAAGGAAATACTATACACAAAAAGGTAAAAAAAGATTAAAAAAAGAAAATACATTATTAATATTACACTGTTATAGTGTTATAGTGCTTCTATTCAATTTATTATTTGAAATTTGTGATTTTAAGGTTCCATTAACTAGATCAGAAGTATATATCTCAGAAGTGCTCGATAATGTCTGTGAAAAAATGACAGATTATGTGAGAGCAATCAAGAAATCCAACAGTGAGTTAATACTCTTCAATCTCGTGTCTTCAACAGGTGGCATGAACCCTCGGATGAATGAAATAGATATAATTCAAGATGGTGACTTAAATAAGAGCCTTCAACATTATGTGAGTGCAATTTATATTAGAATATGTCATTTATATAATCGATATTTATTACTTTGTGATAATGTTTTTACAGTGTAGCGTCATCGTGGAAGAATATGAGGAGGATATAGTGTCATTATATGTTAATGGTGCAAGCAATAAGAAAGAAAAACTTTGCACAAAGATTTCAAATATTTGCAAAAATTATGTTGACGATGACGAAGATACTGATGCTGATAATGCCACAAGTTCTACTGGTGACTTTTCATTTGAGGCTAAAGATGAATTATAAGAGCATTTAGAATAATTTTGAATAAACGTGAAAATAGATGTGCAAGAGATTTGAACAAATGTGCAAATAGGTCAAGTATCGGACTTAAATAACTTTATTCTGCAAATGATATAGATAAGTAATCAGCATTTTTCTATTAAATTTAATTCTAAAATAAAGTCAACTAATTTTGCAATTTTGTATATATGTCCCATATATTGATTATAATTAAGTATATATTGTACATTGATATTTGAAGTTGTCAAATATTTTTGATTTTTGCGCGTTTGTCACGTGATATTAGTTCGCTAAGTCTCACGACAGATGGCGTTGAACCACTTCCTTCCATCCCTCCTTCCTCAAGAGGGGAGTTTGGTGGGTTTCTTTTGGCTTACGGGAGAACGGAGTTTTTTGACGATCGCAGACGTATTTCAGCATATTTCAGCGCAACGTTGCGCGTGTGTGTGTGCATGCATGTATTACCACGATTCCGGTCGGAGCATTGTATGAGAGCGTAAGAATGACAAGCCGTCCATATCAAGAACGCGCGTGAGCGGGTAATTGCACAGAATCGCCCATCGAACATATGATTGTACGGAGGACGCGCGTTGAAGTAAATGTCAAGCTCAGGAATGAATAGCGATTGCGTTTTTCGCATCGTTTCGACTTTGCTCCGAGCGCTCGTGTGATTTGTAAAAAATGACGAAGCGCGCCTCGCTCGTGTGTCAGCAGTGAGGCTTCGCGAGCAGTGATTTATCACAAGTGACAATCCCTGAGGAACGTGGCACGGCTTCGGCGGACAAACATGAGTTCCGTTTGGAAACGTCTTCAGCGGGTGAATAAGAGGGCCGCCAAGTTCCAGTTCACCGTTTCATACCACGAAGTCACGTTAGAGACGACGACGAAATGGTGAGTGATGTTGATTCATTCCTAATTATATTCGCATGAATGCCTCTCGTTCACGGGTCAGGATTTTACTGTCAAACAAGTCACGCTTGTATTACTTTTGTTTATATGAGTGAAACAAATCGGTAACTTGTGCAATTCTCACACAATTAAAAATATAATAGATGCAAATGTCTGTAAAAAAAGAGAATTGAATAAATTATATTTTTTTAAAATATTTATTAAAGCATATATTTGCATGTTGCAATAAATTGCAATAAACTAATAAATTCAAATAAATGTTTTGAAAATGAGGCGTGATAATTATGTAAATTTAAATTTATTTAGAAATAATACCATTTAAATATCTTTTAATTAATTTTAAAATCTATATTTTAAAGGAATGATGTAGATTATATATTAAAAATAATTTATAATGATTTGTAATTTTATAAAAATTTTGCACAAGTTTTAGTATGCAAAGAAACTAAAGAAAAATATAATATTTTATAGGAAACCAAACAAGCTAAGTGTTGTTTGGACAAGACGTAGCAGGAGAGTTAGTTCGGAACCCTTAGACTGGGAACCAATTTTGAGCGATCCGTTGAAAGGTGTTATTAGCTGGGCAGTTCCTGACAATCATACAGTTTCCGTGACGTTATTTAAAGATCCAAGAACACACGAACTAGAAGATAAAGATTGGTCATTTGTCATTGAAGATGTAAGAAGTGTAGCATACTGATATACTTACAAAGGAACATAATGCAATGGTATATTGGTACATTGTTTCATTCCTGAATAGGTGTCGTCGACGGGAAAAAGGCGTCATGTGGCCACCACGAATATAAATATGAAAAAATACGCAACCCTGGAATCTAGTCAGCAACAGCTCAAATTAGACTTAAAGCCGACTTCTAAAAAGATCGTTAGCGCTACACTCGAATGTACTTTATCATGTGTGTTTCTGCGAGAGGGCAAGGCAACGTAAGTGCACTTCAGATTTATCACTAATTACTCATTTGTAAATTAGATAGAGGCATATTTGTTATATTTAACCAAGTAATAGTTCCAATAGGAGTGAAATTGAGCGATATATTTTAATTAATATGCTGCTGTAATTTATTTTTGGAAGATTTATTTGGAAACATTTGTCATTAAAATATTATCGAATATTATTTACAAAAAATTAATTTAATTCTTTTTTTACCAGGGACGAAGATATGCAAAGTATGGCTAGTTTAATGTCGGTTAATAATAATAGCGATATTGCGCCCTTAGATGATTTTGATAACGAAGACATACCGGAAGATGTCGAAGAAGTATCGGTCAAAAATTTGGATGAGATTCTAGATATCTCAGCTCAACTCGATTTAATGACGAGTAGTCTCACCGAAAGTGAACTACCTAGCACTCCTATAAGCGGTAAGTGTTGACCTTTTCATCTTATCAGTACGAAATTATGCCCATGAATGCGTCGAATATAAAATATGTTATTTTTCTAAATTTTGATAACGTTGAAGTTTACTCGCAATAATACTTGGAAATATATCTCAATTCTAATACGATGTGAACATTAAACAGTCTATTTATGACACTATTTATGATATGATAAGTTATTGAATTTGAACAACGTATAACAAGATTTTAATGCAGTTATTTATGTTTGTGAAATCACTAATGAAGTAATCATGCTTGTAACAGTGGCGAGCTTATCAAAGGACGACACAACTCCTGTGAACGACGGAGAACATTTTATACGCGATATTAGTCTAACAAAAATTGGGGAATCTTTAAAAGAAAAGTCACCTATAAAAGACAGTGTTGCTGTTGAAAATGAGTACGTAGAATATTATATTTTACAAATTATATAAGATAATATTAATCTATAATCAGCTCAGTAATGTTAAATATTTCTCTCGCAAAGTGATTTTCTTATCTCTTAATGATGAATATAAGCATGATCTTATTTATGTAATTTTCTAATATGATAATTATATATGCGTTTGATATTTTTGCAGCAAAAACATCGAGCACAGCGTACTGAGATTGCCGTTGCAGCCATTAGATCTTAAGAAAAATGACGCAAACGTTCCGAGATTGAAGGAAATTACTCCTGGTCAAGATTTATTAGAATGGTGCAAAGAAGTCACTAAGGATTATCCTGGTGTCAAAGTCACCAATCTGACGACGTCTTGGCGAAACGGAATGGCATTCTGCGCGATTATTCATCATTTCAGACCCGATTTGATGTAAGTACTTCTACTATTGTCTTGATTGAATACTTAATTTCTAAACTCAAATTTTTTTATGTCATTTTCGCTGAAAGAAAAATTTTAATAGACAATCTCGGCGCGATTATTCGATATTTCAGACTCGGTTTGATCTTCTAAGTACAATTATCTTGTTTAATTTTTATAAACTGTCTTTTTTCTCGCGTTACTTTCCCCCGGGAGAAAAATGTCAATAGACAACCTTGGCAGCATGCCAGCTATTTTATTCACGCGTTCCATTAATAAACGCTGAAATCGTCATTGTTGTGTCGACTGACTTCGTGCCAACAGTTTGAAGATTATTTTCGACAGAAAGATCGACGCATTTGTATGTCTATAGTATAGTCGTGTAATACAGTCGTGTTATTACAGGAACAATAATAACAATAAAAATAAGGAAGTAGAAACTATAATTATATAGTCTACAGTTCTATTAACAAACTACAGTTCTACGTATAATAAAACTTTTAATAAATAAATCACATTTTATATAATTGCTAAAAGTTGCTGAAAGTAAAACGATATTTTATACTTTATAATATAAGACGAAAAGATTTGTTTTAAAGCATAAATTTATGTCAATTATGTTATTTCAATCTTTTTAGAGTTAATTATTCTTGATATTTTGAAAACTGATTATCATTATTTGATAAAATTGAATAATATTCAAAATAAAAATTTCTAGAGACATCGATTCCTTATTATCGCACGACGTAAAAGGCAACTGTAAGAAAGCATTTGACGCGGGCGAAGCTCTAGGCATACCCAGAGTTATAGAACCAGCAGATATGGATATATTAACTGTACCTGATAAACTAGCTGTGATGACGTATTTGTATCAATTGAGAGCGCATTTTACCGGCCACGAACTGGAGGTATTTTAACTTTTTTAATCTTATTAATAAATCTTCAAATCTTCTTATATAATCATTACTGTTGTTTTTCTTCTTTTCTTCGTATAATATACTATACTATGACATAATTACTAATCCTATATTATTCTTCTGTGAATCACCGTAGGTACACCAAATAGGAAAAACAACGGACGAATCCTCTTACATGATCGGTAGGTTTAACACAGACAACAATACAGACGTGAGTGTCCAGCTGTTTGGCCAAGAAATCATTAACTTACGAAAGAAGGAACAGATTGATCAGAAGAACAATAAAGCGGACAATCGACGGTAAATATGTTTACAACGACGTTACGTAATTTATTATATTATCAGTCCGAAGTGCATTCTGAACATTCAAGAGCAACATAACAGATTTGCGATTCTCGCAGGTCAAATCCGTTCGACAATAAGAAGGACGATATCTGTATCGACTCTTTAAAGAACAAGCTGCACTTGAGTCTGAACACGCAGGACACACAGGATCACGATCAGTGCAACAAGGACAAATCGCCGTCCAGCGTGAAGGATGTCAAGGACATTATATTGGCCAGTTCGAAGAGCATTCTGGGCAAGGTGTTGTCGCCGACCAAGGAGAAGTACTCGTCGAGAGAGAAAGTACGTAGAAATGTTCGCGCGGGGCAAGCCCGAATCATGTTTCCGGTGTCGCGATATGTCCGCGGAATCCGCTTTCGACAATTTCCGCGACTTGGAATCTTATGAATACATTGCGTACATATATGTCCGATGGAATTTGCGCGTTAATTTCTTTCATTGTGAGGAAATGAGTACAAATTTACCGCAGAGCAAGTCGCCGCCGAGAGTGCAACAAGCGCAGCAACGTCCGATACTTATGACACGCCGGCAATTAACCGATCCGTTCGGCTCCGACGACGAGGAGGAGAACATACAGATAATCGACGACAAATGGTCGCAATCGATCTCGATTACCAAATCGCAAAGTCCGGTCCGTGATGTCAGTATATACGAGATTGCGCAGATTGTCGCTTTTTATGCATTCCTTCTGTTATTATACCTCGCTGCATTGACAATAAATACATAACGCGCACTGTTGTACCTCTTTCTATTACTTCTTTTTTTTTGTCTTCATTGGCGGACTTCTAACAAAATGCGTTGTTCCAAGATCTGCTGTCTTTTTGTTCACTATTGTGTCGAACAGGTTTACAACTGCGCTTTTTGCTGACAAGAAATTTATACCTATTAATACGCGTTAAGCTGCATGATAATATGCATGAGAGAACTGCGTATAATATGTTCCGCGATTTGCACGGAATGTAGATTTGTGCAGGCTATCTTATAAGCTTCGCATTCAATTCTTTGGCAAGTCAAGTTTCGACGATTTTGTTCCTCAATTGAACTCGCATTTCAGTTAATTTCAATAACTTTGACAAATTTTTAATATATATTTCACAATTTTGCTTTTCATCAAAATGTTTGATATTGAAAAAAAGCATCTAGAGAAAATAATTATTCTATAGTAGAGCTAAGTAACGAATAGTATGCAAAATAAGAACATAAATTATTAGCAAGATTTTCTTTCTTGCAAGTTTTAGCTTAATTTTTAATATTATATCTTTATAAATAATATTACAATTTTTTACTGCTGCTATAATTAAAACATTTAAATCCTTTAAATTAAAAATTTGCTTGAGAAGCCATATATTCATAAAAAAGCTTTGCAATGATATTTTGATTCAGCGTACGTTATCAATGCAAGAATAATCTTTTGTAGGATTCGGTAAACTCCGACGATAGAGGAAGTCGAGGTAGTTCCGAGTGTCAAGCTGCATCGCCGCCGTACGGAGACCAACGTTCGCAACATGTAATTAACATTTGCTTTCATTGTCGCTTTCAGTAATGTAACATCTTAATGCTAACAGAATTAAGGTTATTTAAACTAGATAAAAAAATTTTACAGTTGTCCACTGATTCGACTTACATTTTCTTCTTTTTATTTCAGCCATTAGTTAGCCGACATGATGAGTTGCGAGAGCGTGCGAGATTACTTCTAGAACAAGCCAGAAACCAGACGAAACCAGCCGGGTTTGTTTCCGCTGCGATCAGTCCCGTCGAGGTTCTATATTTTTATTTATATAGCTAGAGAGTTCTCTGTTAATGTATCGAATATCTCTTGAGGGACGGTTGGATTTTATGTAAATGTAACTTATTTTTGCAGATACAGAACGATGACGAGAGACAGCAGCAATTGCGGGAAAGAGCGAGACGCTTGATAGCGGAAGTGAAAATGGGCGTCACTGTGACTCCGAGTCAACTGAACGACGACAATAGCAGTGATCGACGATCGATAGACGATCAGAATAATAGTCCTAGACGTAGCATCACGCCGTCAACGCCCGGTGATAGACTCAGTATTAAGGTTCGTAAATGTTACACATTTAATCTTTTCACATTTTCTATTATAATACGCAAAAAATGATAAATTACAATTAATTTTTCAGTCTGAGTACAATGGAAATATACTGGGAAACACAAGTGTGATAGATGGAGAGAAGAAAGCCGGTTCGCCTTTGTATTCCTTTTCCAAAATCATAGAAAGAATTTCGCCCGACAAAGGAAGTCCTGACAGAACTCCGTACACACTTCGCGGGGTAAGTTAACATTAATTTAAAGCAGTTGAAGAAGTTATTGATGTACAATATAGGTTAATTTATATATATCAAACTGCTTATTTTTATCGAGTTTTAATAACGATTTATTTGCTCAGTTTTAATAATGACATCTTCATTGCTTTGTAGTTGGGCAAAGACATGACATCGTATATACAAAACGAGCTCGAGGCGCTCGAACGAGAGCAAAATCAGATTGACATACAGGCTGGCAAGCTTGAGAAGCAATTGAGAGCAGCAATGGAAAGCGATAACGAGGATGAAACGGAAAGACTGATGTCTTTGTGGTTCACTCTTGTTAACAAGAAGAATGCGCTCTTGAGAAGGCAAATGCAACTAAACATACTGTAAGTGATTCATTCATTCAAACATTTTAAAATTTAATTGAAAGTTGTACACATACACACATACAATCAATCAAAATAGACGACATTATTATAATGTTTATTACATTTTATTGAATTTTTTATTTTTAGGGAAAAGGAAGATGATTTAGAGCGACGATTCGAACTTCTGAATCGCGAATTAAGAAGCATCCTCGCAGTGGAAGAGTGGCGGAAGACATCCGAGCAAAAAATGCGTGAAAATTTATTGTTGGAAGAATTAGTGTCGATCGTGAACAAAAGAGACGAATTGGTGCATCATTTAGATACGCAAGAGAGAGCGTAAGTATCATAGATGCATATTATTTTATTATTTGTTTATCATAGAATTATTAAAGGTTTTATCTTTCGCTCTTCCGTCCAATTTTCAGCATCGAGGATGATGACGAGATAGAACGCGACTTATCGCGCGCTGGATTAGCTCAACGAAACAAAAATTGTGTTGTGCAGTGAAGAGTTATTATCTATTATATATTTTCGACACTATTTTGAAGGTAAGTTACGTGACGTTATACAAATTATGATAAAACTTGTTTGTCAAGTTAAAAGATTTCAGTTATGTTAGATCAATGAGAAAATTAAATTTTTATTCTTATTTATGTTACTTTAACCAAGTTTTTCATCTTTATTGTTAAATGCTTCTTAAAGCATTAATTATAATTTTTTAAGATAATTATGTTGTTTTTCCACTTTTCATATTTTGTAAAAACTATTTTTATGAGATATGACATGCAAGAGCGTAAACTTAAAAAATTTTCAGGCATGACCCATTTTGCTGTGCTTGCCAAAGAGTCGATGAAATTAGACATTGAAGAGTTAAGTATAATGTTTCATGGTTTGCAAACTGATCACTTTAGGGACTCATTTTCTACTACACATCATAGATTAATTCATTGAAGTAAATTAATATTAAATTCGTCGACCAACAATTCGCGACAAAGGAATTGAGGAAGGTCGAGAAATCTCGAAGCATCAACAAACATTAATCAATGATGTGCATGATTTTTTGTATATTATCGAGCACGAAGCCGATTATTTCATATAGCAAACATTTTGATGTATGCTTTAAGTGGAGTGTTGCGCGTCAATACAAATAGATACGCGCTACGAGATGACGAATAATGCAGAACACTTTATAATTATAGTAGTAGAGAAAGAAAGACATAATTAATTTTTTTTTAAATGAACAATAAAGCGTTAAGCGAAAAAGTAACGCAGATGCGGGAGAAAGCTTAGAAAGTGTGGAGATTAATGATAAGGCTAAGTTTTGACGAGATTCGGGATCTCTTTATGATATTTATATTAAAGGATTCTGTTTATACAAGTTAATTAATAGCTTTTATATTTAAAAATATGAAAGATGTAATTAGTTGATTGCATGCCGCAATTAGTTAATCAGTTGACTGCAATTGTGAATTTTGAACGTTTAATTTACGTAAAAATTTTTACTTTGTGGCTGGATTGCTAAAATATTTAATATCGAAAACCAAAGAATGACAAATAATGATTCATACATTCACTAATGAGGAACGGCAGATTTGATCGATTCCATTATCGATCGTATCATTTCTCTCTTGAGTTTCTCTTCGTATTTTTAATAACAAGTGTGAGTGCTATTCTATCGCTATCTAAGTGAAATTAAAGTGGGCTACTGTGCAAGAACACGCGAGAGATGCGTAAAAAGCAATTTAGGAAATATATCTCGCAACATTACCGTTCGAAATCGACTCGCGGCGAATAGATTATCCCAATTATTACGAAAGGTAGATCACGTCGGCGTTACGAATAGTTTTCGGACTCGCAATAGTCGTTTCCCATCCAGCATTCATATATACTCTATTTGTGCCATATGAACGTTGACATACTTTTTCCATTCTACTTAACGAGCTCATTCGTTATAATGCAGGAAAAAAATGCATGAAAGGTAAATCCGACGATTTCGCTGGTGGGCGTGCAGTTTTAAGGAACCGAATAATCGCTAAGACTAATTCTTATGTGCTATACTTGAATTATACGATTCTCATGGTCGCGGCAAGTGCGACCGAGAACTATCTCAATTCCGAATGATAAATGATTTAGCAATAATTTATTATTCTAGTGCCTATAAATCTACGTTTATAAAACTGTAGTATAAATTGACTCTTTTAATTTAATTTATTGTGTATCATGAAGAATATTTAGTGTAAAAATAATCATTCTTGCCAACGCTGTAGTCTTGTGGAGATGCGCTGTTCTATTTTTCTTTGCTGATCGATGTATGAGTGCGAGTGAGTATAAAAAAAAACATGTCACGCAATATTCGCCATTAATAAGGGAAGACTTATAAAGCACCGCAGGAGGAAATAAATATGATGTTGATAATATCACCAAGTGTCGTTTTATTTCTATTGTACTAATAAAATTTACATTGTATTTTTGCAGATAGAACTATTACGGGATAGATAGAGCTTAGGATCTTTCGCTTGATGTTTTTGTAAAGTTAAATAAAAGTGGCATCATAATGAAATACTGAGGAGGATAAATTTGGAGAGAAAGCGGGCAGAAGTGGATAAAATTGGAAGCAACGAGAGGCACTGAGATGATTATGATTTTATTTGCACATACTTTGCGATGGCAGTGACGCTATATACACAACGTTACACATTTATATGATATGAATGACTGCTTTGTCACCTGCGCATTGGTAACCGTGGTAATACTTTGTTGATTATATAAATATCGATCGAGCTGTACATTTTACACGAAGAATTAGACATTACAAATCGATTGTACACTAACTAATAATCGTTCATCTTAAATCTCATAACAGAATACTTCACTAGATAAAGCTTACACCAGAACTAAGCACCACATTATGCGACGTGAGAAGTTTCCTTTGGACATTTACGACATTTCGGATATAGTGTGTTCGAATGATGCACATCACAAGAACCCTTTCACTTAACAATCGTCAAGTAGCGGACAACCGTGCAAAATTATCGCGCTTTCTCTTCACTTTGGCATCGATAATCTTCCCGTTGACACTTAATTAAAAACTCGCGTAACAATCATGGAGTAGGAAAATTGCAAATGACAGGTACGATGCACTTATTACAATTATTTTCTCCTTATATAACATCGGTCACGAAGCTTATATCTTCTCTACGTAATTCGAAGGGAAAAGACCAGTTTTCCCTTTCAGTCTTCCATGCCACCAGCCGCCTTCATCTGGAAGATATATTATTAATTTATACATCAATTATGTAAAAAATTGCCATCATTGGAAACACTTTTTTTTTATCTGTAGATATCCTTTATTTAAAACACTTGGATATCTATAGATAAAAGTTTTTATTTTTATTTTTATTTTCAGTGCTGCGTGGAAGACTTTTAATATATTGTTACTTTTTTTTATATATATATTGTCTAATATTGTGTCATTATTTATTAGGTAAGGAAATTCAGGTTGTAACAACTCACGTTCTTTGAGTACTTCTACGATGTCGCCTTCTCTCAGGCTCAATTCGTCGAGGTCTTGCGGATCGTAGTCGTACAGGGCTTTAACTTTCGGCAAACTCGGCGGCGGCGGTTTCTGAGGGGGCACTTTTCTATTCGCCACCGCGTACGCGACATTATCCGCCTTCCTTCTTGCGCGGTCCGTCGCGTCACTAGTTTGTTTAACACTCCATTCCTGGGTTTGCATCCCTTTATTGAGATGACCGGAAACTTTGCCGTTATGTAAGGGCAATCTGAATCCCGCGGGCGGTTCATGCGGCGGTGGCGGCTCCGTGGGTGGGGGTGGAAATTTAAGCAGACCTTCGAATTGCACAAAAATCACATCTCTTTAAGTAAATTTTTATTATTTTTACCTGCAAGCGCTAATAATGTAAAGAAGCTCACCTCGCGGTCCGCTATTGGGATCGATAAACATAGTCATTACAGCAGTCTGTTTGTCCCGCAGCTTGTTAGGATGGTTCGTTCCGTTTTTCATTTCTTTCTGAATCTGTACAGGTTGAACGTTCGGGCGATTCGGCGGAATGTTTGGTCTACCGTTGGTAGTCACTTGCGTGGGAGTTGCGCATCTCATAGCTGCTACCGGGCGAAGGGAAGCTCTCTCGACCATAATCGTCTGATTGTTCGGCGTTAAGACTGGAGTTAAATCGCACAGTCTTGGCGCTTGACGAACTGGCCTCGTAATGTTGTTGTTGTGCAAACGAATGGGCATCGGTCGGTCCGAATTAGGCTCTAAACGATATTATTAAGTTTAAATAAAGAATATGTATTGCTTTTTCGATTAGGAATTGTGATGAGGGCAGAAAATAAAGCCTTACTCGTCGTGTTCGGCAATCCTGGACCGATGCTGATGTTGAGAATTTTGCCGGACGGCCTTAAGATCTCCTTGTCGCCGTAATCCGTTTGCGTGAACTTTATTTGCCTCGTCCCGCCGCCACCCCAACCCTCCTTCTTCACTTTGAACTCCAAGCTAAATAGAATTGAATTTATTTTATTCCAGGCACGAAATGTATAAATTGCACGCGCTACAATAATAACAATACGCGAAAAGACGTACTCATTGCTAAACCTGATGTTCATGAGATGGCCAGTATCTTCGAGATATTTTTTGCTCAGCACGGACAAGAATTCCGTCTTGAATACCGATTCCAGCAAGCTGGCGTAATCCTCTTTTGTATGTATGATTATAAAATTGTCCTGGAAGGAAAAATATGAAAACGTGTGCGCAGTATGTATAATGCAAATACGAAATTGTAAAATGTTTAATTACTTGTAGCGTGCTCAGTGATACGTGGCTAATCTGATTAAACGGGAGCTTCCTCTTGATAACTTCAATGGATTTACCCTTCTCGGGGCCTTTCTTCAATTGCTCGCGGCCGATGAGATAAAGACATTTCCCAGTAAGGATGAGATCTCTCCTGCACATCTGTTACATAAATCACTCGCCATGAAGTTGTGTTCAAATATCATTAAAAGCGATTATTCGAAGTCTTGTGGGATCAATAAGGTAATAAATCAATGTTTTCTTTTATCTTTGGAATCGTACAAAAATCGATATTTGTTGAAATAACTCAATATTTACTTTTCCTTTTTCATAAAATATTCAATATTTTAATTTGCGGCGATTTTTTTCGAAATTATGATATTTTACGAAACGAGATGCGCAAATGAAAAAAGGCTGTTCAAGCCGTAGAATTTTTACCTTAAACCTTCTGTCGTATTTCTTCACGACTTCGGCAAAGAACACTTTTTCCCGTCTTCCAACGAGGCTCGTTATTTGCGGCTTGCCTTCCAGTCCTATGTAATCGCCCACAAAATTTCTATTCAGACTCGCCCGTCTCCGCTCTTTACGGCCGAAGAGAAGATTAGCGGCTTCCTGCTTCTGCTGATTCTGTCTCTTCCAGGCGAAATACTTTTTGAAGGCTTTCTGAATAATTCGCGCGTACATATTGTACTTTCGATCGCGAGCTTCCTCCAGCATGAAGAGCTAAATTACACATCGTCTAATTAATTTGTCGAACAGAGTTTAAAATTGAAAAAAACAAGTTTAAAATTAGAAAAAACTTACAGTTTCAGGCGCCTTAATAAAGAGTTTCGATCTGCCGAGCTGATACTGCGATCTATCGATATGTATACTCCCCAATATCCACTCCACGCCTTGCTTTTCATCGCCAGGCCAACGAGGCCACGTTTCTTTGGTGAGTATCGCATATCTGTGTAGAAACTTTGCGAACGGCCTCCTGTAGGCGAAGCCGGCTCTGCGCACTCTAATATTTTCTTTCAGGCCTAGATATTCCACCTGGAAGTAATTTACCCGCGATTATTTGTTAATTCATTGTTACAAGCATATTGAATTGTATCAAGCACATTGAATCCAGAATCATTTAATAATATTTTAAAGCAGTTAAGACATCTGTGAACTATATTCTACGGATTGTAATATACCGTAAAACCATACCGTATTGACTTTCTCGAACAAGATTTTAACGTTACCTGAGAAGAAAAAAAGAAAAAGAACGGTTTTGCGTGTAATCGTTCTTACCATTTATGTTTGACATAGTTTACTGGAACATTACACGATCGAGCCAAGGAGAAAAGCCAAATTAGAAAATCCCATTAAAAATCTCATTAATCTCGCTTTTGTGATTCATTTTTCAATTATCTGGTTTTAATTATTTTTTTCTATCTATATTTTTTTAAATCTATTTTTAAGCATTTCTATGGCTCTTTTCAATATGCATAAATTTTGAACTTCAGGAATAAACCGGATAACATCGAAGAAGTTATTATACCTGATGCTTGACCCGCAGCTGATCCCAATCGCGCGGCTTCTTCGTCTCGTTCGGCTTGATGCACCGAATGTAATGCGGCGTGCACTTCATCAGCTGACCGACCAAGCGGCTGGCTTGATTTCTAATTTTGCTACCCGCAGTCGTAGGTCTGGATTTGAGAGTCTTCGTTTTAGCGGCATCCTTCTCTCGCGGGTAAAGTTCACGCACCAAAGAACTGACAATAGAATATCGTTTTTCATTCCATTCTATCAGCTATATAACGATATTAGCGCATCAAGTAGAATGATGCTTGGATTAAAGAAAATCACATTAATGCGTGACAAATAAATATTAAAAGACTCATGTGTAAACAAGTTCATCATATTATTTTTAACTTTTGCAATTTTCGCGAAATTTTCTGCACGCGATCCTTACGTAAATAAATGCACGTAATTGATAAGTGGTTAGAATTACGTGACGATAATGTTGAATTATCGAGAAGATATTTACATAACAACATAATGATTTCCATGATCAGTCATTTAAATCATCATCTAAATGTAAAATACGATACCTGTCACACACACACACACACACAATTAGTTTCTCAATTTTCTTTTTTTTTTTACTTTGTTATAAAATTGACGCTTATTCTCGTGTTTTCTTTAATCCTGCTTCTCTTATTAGATATTCATCGAATCGATTGAAAAACAAGCGCGGAGTTATTAATCATTGTCAAGTAATAACTTAAGTAAATTTCCTTTCAGAATCATTTGTCACGTGGATAACCAAGTTATGGCACTACGCTTACTTCGTGCCCGTCTGCATTAACTCGATCAGATCCAAGAAGAGGACATCCCGGTTCTTATCGCAGAATCCATCCACGGAGTATGACACCACGCCGGCGTAATGAAGGATTGCGAAACCGTCGCTCTTGTCTTGGAAATGTGCGTGCTGCTTAGCCGTTCCTGCCAGTTTCTGCAATTCATACAACACGATGACTCGTTAATTTATTACATTAATTTAAAATACTCGTCCAGAAGTATTTAAGCACCTTCTTCAAATCGATGTCGGCACCCGTGCTTCCGCCGTGCAGTGTCGCGCATACGTCATCGAGCACCAAAAAAAGACCAGGCGGCCTCTTGCCCTCGAGAAGTTCCACCACAATGGCATTATTAAAATATTCTATCGGCGTCCATCTGATGTTTTCGGCGACGTATTCTTCCTGGAAAGAGGTAAGTCCTACTTTATTTACTAACAAGACGAATGGATATCCCTTTCAAACACTGTGCGAGGGAAAGAGAAGATAACTTATATGAAAAATATAATTCACCGCCTATCTCAATAGAATATTTTTTAAAGAATTTATTATAACACAAAATGCTTCTATATGTTATATATATTTATTTAAATCAGCATTTCCTATTTTATTTGAGCAAACTAATGCGTCAGATAATGCAAGCTCTGTGTTGAAACATATATCATTGAGTAAATAGTAATTAATCGATTTTTTGCGATTGACTGATCACAATAATGACCTCATGGGATGGTAAATAATTTTATAAAAACATTATTTGCAAAAACTAAGTGATGCAAGTGGCGCAAAACAAAAGCCAATCAGTTTACTCGCACAGTGTAATAAATCCATCAATAATTATGCTGCAATATTGAAGTACATATGCGATAAAATAATTCAATAACTAAAATTATTTCGAATATAAAGAGAGAGATTACATTTGCTGACAGTTCTATAATATACCGACAGTTCTATAATATAATCTTACATAAAACGTATTCGATGCATTAATCGATATATATTGTTCTAAAGAGATGTCGATTAAATTCTGGATTAATTGACAACTTTGCGAATGGCTAATTCGAAATAAGTGATTCCCGGCTTATTAGACGCATGCCGGGTCTCACATGAAGATTATATTTATTTTTTATGATTTTTCGCACGAACTTATCGACCAGCTATCTGATCAAAATCCCCGAGCAAACTTTAAACTAGACAAAACTAGCCGACGAGGTCAGTGGCCTTTAACCCCAATAAGTGATCCTCCCTTCTAGGCACATCTGTGACAATAATAGCTGCTCACCTGATCGTAGTAAACGGTAATAGTTACGTAATAGCACGTGCTGCACACGGATTCACGCACACGAGCGCGTCGCGTTCATTAAACAGGTGAGCGCGCGCCGGATCTTTAAAGCATTATAACTCGGCGAAAAATTTACGTAGCGATATGAAACAAAAAGGGATTTGTGCTTCGCGTTCTGCAGATGTTTATGCACAATACATGTATTGTTATCGTGATACGTATGCATATGTATGGTTGCGTACGGTGGATTATCAAATATAAAAAGGCGTAATTTGAGGATTATATAATATCCACTTATTCGCGAATGATATTCACGTTTAACGCGCTTTAATAGACTGAATTACGTGGTCTATTAAAAGGAATGATAAATTTGGCGAGCGCTAGCAGCGTGGTGTATATCGAAAGAGTTAACGAGCCAAACGCATGTCAGGAACACAATTCCTCGTTTGCAGTTTAATTTACGCGTTCTATAAACTTTGCCAGCTGTGATTCTAAACGACGGAAATAAAAGAAATACCAGGAAGTTTTTAATAATTTATATTTCCGAAAGGGTTTGCGCGTGATTTATACTAAAGAATTATCATTTTAAATAATACTGTTGTGGTGTTTCTCGACGCAATCTACTACAGAATTAATTTTCTCGTAGAATATATTGCATTAAACAATGCTTCTTTAGATTTAAAGAAAAATATAATAATTTTTGCTTCTGTCTAATTTTTTAATTTGCACACTCGACAATAAATTTCGGCGTCGGCGTCGGCGTCAATAAATTTGTGCAAACATATTGATGCTAAATATTTACATTATGAATTTCACATTTACACACTCCGACGAATCATGCAACAAGTTTGTCCAAACAAATTAGCGCCGACATGTTTATAAGTGTGTAAACGCCGCTTGAAACTCGAGCATTAATTTACGACTTTATTAATGGCGATTATCCGTTTATCAATTGATGAAGGAATTAACGTTGAAAATTCGACACGCGTGATCTCTTGGATAATTTAATTGATCGATTTAACCGCTTTTGTGGAGGAGACATGCACAGATTGCAAGACTCGCTTACATCAAACGTTACGTCGAAAATACAGGCTTAATTACGTGTGCCGCCAGTAACATCGCGTCGGTATCGCGCACGTACGAGCGATTTATATCTTGCTTACTCGAGGCGATAGAAGGGAAAGGCGTAGTAATAACGCGATTGCCCGGCGCTTTTAAAATCGCTTTCCATTTCAGCAGGCCGAAGGTGTATACTTCGCGATTGCAGCCGGCTCGAAAACCGGTCGCCGCCATTTCAACCCTTTCCATCCCGGTCGTCCGTTTCGCAATATTTCGTTTGTCACCGGCGTTTGCATAATTGTCGCGAAACTTGGGCAAAACGCGGATACGTTCTTCCGTGCAATGAAAATATGATTTTCCAATCGTCAGCTCTTCCCACGCGTGATAATTCAAACATTTTCCGAACAGTTTTCAATGAACGACGACAAACTTAGCTCTTGAATTGAAATTATTAAAATTAATTGATTTGCAATACCGTTTTACGTTTTTAAAAAAATTTATTTTTTATCATATTGTGTCTTCCTCGTGATAGATTCTTATTACACGTAATTCGTTTGGGGATAAAAAAATATTATAAAATGGTAAAGCTATGAAGAAAATCCAAGTCGATAGAATGACAAGTTTTATTTATAATCTGTTAATTTTAAAAGCAGCTGATGGCAGGAGACACGGTTGTCCCACTTTAAAATCGAGCGTCTGCTTTTACATAAATAATTTTAGATCTCGTCTTTGTGCTCGCGATTCACGGTCAAGTTTTTTACTCGGTCTAGTTGCGGTTCGATCGCGCTGCACCGCGACACAGCGCACGGCAGACAGAAGTGGCACGATTTTTTCGTCGTGGCCTTTACTCGAGTTAACGACTCTTTTTCATAAAGTCAACCTCTTTAGAATAGCGCCGTGCAAACAACAGTCTGCGGTCCGAACGCTGCTTCCGCCGATTCTTCCGCGCAGGACTGCGCCGTGTAATAGCGCTGTTCAACGCTATTCGATTTCTGAATAAACAATTTGTGTCGCGATTCGTCATCCGCAATCGAAGACGCGAAAAGGCATATTATCAATTTTTTTCATGCAGCATTTCACAATGCGCAATTTGCTTTCCTTCCGCATCGCGAATAACTCATCAGCGGAAAATTAATTACGCAATAGTTGAGCGATTGGCGTGATGCGCAGATGAATAACTCGCGAGATGGACAATTAATTGTCGGATACCAAATTCGGTACTTGCAGCACGATTCCTCAGCATCCTTTTGTAGCAGGTGCTTTCACTTCGTTATTATTTTAGCCGTGCCGACTTTCGGACTGTCTCGCAGCGAGCTAGTCGACTGTCTGCCGGAATAAAACGAGAATTAAATTATTGCGCAACGTTAATTAGGCCAAAATAATATCGCGCTAGCGAGCTATTTTGCGTTTACTGAACTTGAACTTGGCGCTCGTCAAGAAATTTTCTAGACTCCGACATAATTGGTGATTAATTTCGGAAGAAATAAAGACGCGCTGTTTAATTAGCCGCTTTCTTGCCTCGCCGCGATAGTCGCGATAAGCAAATTAATCATTATACGCAATTACTTTGTCGTGTGCGCGCGCTAATCGTACGAAATGCAGGCGGTAAAAAGAGTCGACTGTGTTCCGACGGTGCTTTAGATACCGTGTATAAGTGTCTATTACGCACTTCAGACGCACTCGTGTCGTAATAATCTGTTATTTTATGCGTCGCCATCGTCTCGATCCGCGCAGTTGTGTAACGCGATTTGCGATGCGTTTTCCGTCTTTCAGCGTCGCTAGACGTCTTCCGCTTGTTTTGTTCGGCGAACGACCGTGACCGTCGTCACTAATAAAAAAATAAGAGAAAAAACTGCGGAAATGTATCGAGGCTGACAGGATAGAGCCGAACAAAGAGACGCGCGACTCCAGATTAGACCTCCCGTTCGTTCAATCTGCAAACAATTGGCGATTGTATTTTCTGTTTGTGTCTACCCGTCTCTCTCGTCGGTTAATTCTTCGGCTGACGTTTCACCTCCGACCCTTGCGCGTTACCGTAAACGGCGAGTTTAAGGACGCCCGACGGATACGCGTTCTGATTTCTGCGCGGAATGCGTCCGCGTCGCATTGTCCCCGGCGCCGAGGATGCAGCACGGATGCAGCACGGACGCTTCGTCCGCGCGCGCATCGGGATTTCCGGCAATTTTCTTAGAGTGAATGCCGTTAGAACGCGCACAGACAGGACGATAATTAGTGCTTTAACGGAGACGCGTGTGGACAACGCGATACGCAAGGATGTGTGAACTCACCACGAATGCATCCTACTTCGTCTTATCAGTCGATTGATATTCAACGCGCAAATAAAAATGATTCCGCTCGAGAGAATCATCATTAAGCAGAACTTTAATTGAAGAACAAATTGCTAATTTTGGTATAAAAATTAAAGCAAAGAGAAAACGAAATAGCTTCCCTTTTGCTCTAATTTGCCGAAATCAAGTCTGATTAATCTCGCATACATACATACATTTTTGCCGAAACTTTCTTCGAAATTTCACATACGTTTCCTCAATTATCCTACATTCCAAAACTCTCGAACCTCCACGCTTTTACAAGAACAAGTATCTGATATGCTCGCCGCACGCTCGTTTCGAATTAACGTTAATGAGGCAAAAAAGGTCGCGACGTGCAAACTAATTGGATCGGGAGTCGCATATGTCTGCCCATGGGAAACCGCGCTTCATTGTTGCCGGAATTGGCTGGAGTTTGGAGAGAGGAGAAGGGCGTATAAAAACGCAGATAATGGAGAAGATAGATGTGTGTATTCTGGGTTAACGGCGGTGAAAATACAGGAGGAAGGCAGTAACTCGATTTCACGAGAGATCACCGGATTCGCGCGACACTCGGATGCCAAATGTCAACCGTCAAGCTATTTTGTATTTTAACGGAATTCCTCTTGCGTTCTCAGAAGCAAAAATTTCGTAGGAACAACGCGTCACTAATTCCCACCACAATTTTAATGTAGAAATTTTAAGAGAATTATTTTTTTCCACATTTATTTGCCAAAGATTAATTCGCTAGGAGAAAATCCGCGGTAAAATTTTAGTGGAAATTTCAGTGGAGGGAAAATTGTTTCAAATTTCAACTTTCAGAGAACCTCATTGTTTATAATTGTGTATGTAAGAAATTTCAGAGTAAGGTAAAAAAATAATCGAGACATAAATTAGTGAGCAGAATGTAACTGCATATCATCTTAATTTCGTATTCATCACGCTACCAGAATCTAAACCTAACTGTATTATTATCGCGACGCGCATCTCGGGAACACAAAAGATGTCATCTTGATATGTTCGTGACGAGTTCAGTGTGGTCATCGCAACAATGTTGATTTTATTACGAGATTCGCAGTTATTATATTAACCGCTTGATGAGACGAAGCTAATCTGCGTGCGTATTCGCGGCAACAACGAGTTCCTTGTAGAATTGAAACAAAGACATTTCGCAACACACATTGTGATCGTCGAAACTGCGCATTCAAAATTCATTTTCAACAAAGCAAGGATTTATTTCCCGTAAAGTAATTGCGCCGCAGAATTAATCCCGCAACGTCATTAAAATCGATCTCTATGCAAAGCGCACTTATATTTGACAGATGCGTTTTTTTCCCGCGTACCACATGTATTACGGGAAGGATTAAAAGTCGCTGGTGAAAAAGACACGCGGCCAATCGAGCACCACGAAATGCAGAGAGTGGTGGCAGCCGCACGTGGGAAGAGCGCGAGAAAGAGAGACTGAAGGGGAGAGAGAAACGGCGATCGCTTCACTTAGCTATTTCATTACCTTCACTCGATCCTTGGCCGCAGTGTACACGGAGCCGCGATCACGCTTCGCAGCCGATCCTCGTCGCGAATGATACCGATCGGCGCGATCCTCGCGCGCACGCGGACGGATGGGTCGCGCGTTACATAATAAAAACACCGAGTGATTATAAATCTACCTACGAGAGGCTGCGAACGATCGCGGGAATCTCTGCGGGGAATTGGTGAGAAACCGAGAACCGACCAAGAGGCGCACCTACCGAGGTGCTGGATCCAGGCGGATCGTATGTTTATTGTCCTGTCGCAAGTCTCAGGTACGTTCGCGGGCTAGAGAAAGAGAGAAAATAGTTACTCAATATTAATTATTAGGTAGATGTTATTTTTAACGAAATATCTCTTATAATAACGTATGATTCTATAATAACAAAAAGGAAAAGTTCAAAGCGCGGATGTCGAGCCGCAAAAAGTCTGTTTATCACGCGTGAACAACATACGGAAATATCTCTCGATTTATTAAAACTCTAATTTGTTATAATTTATTATGACTAAACGGAGCAATTACATAATTGCGAAGTGGACTCTTTCGATCAATTTAAATCGCAATACTGAATTTGGTTTCGAAATGCACAGCCATTGCCGCGCGGCTATTAATTTAAATAGCGTAACGGAGACAAAGCGAGAAAGATTGACGATGACGTGCTGATGCGGCATTCAAATTTTATCGTCGTGGTTATTCGCGGACCGCTATTGCGTGCTCGTAAACCTAGGTGACTTAAATTACACGTTGTGAGTGACAGGTGATCTGTAAAGACGGTTTTCAATTCTTCAAGTAACAAATTGGTCGCGAGATAAAAGGTACGCGGTCCATTCATCGCGGCCGAAATACAAAACAGCCGTTATTAATGGCAAAGTATACGGTTCACGCTTGTGTTTCGCAAGAAAATAATTATTCTCCAAGAAGCAAATTTGTAAGAAAAGATTACGCGAAGACAAGGCTCGCATTGACGCGCGAGCGGCGTTATGCGTTATATCCAGCGTCGCTTAGATCGGTACTCATGCATAGATGCTTTGCAGTTATCAATTCGCGTTAGATTAGACCGCGCTCGTCGTCCGCCAATATTCTTTAATGAAGCTTAATTGCCGCATGTTGCGGAACGCCGTTGTAATTTCAGCTTCGAGGAGCTTGCCGCGCGCCAAGTCGCGATCAAAGAGGCTCGTGAACGCTACTTTCCACGGGTATCGTTTGCGTAAACTCACGACTAGCATAAATGTTCGTTGACACGCTTACTGTTTTTAACGATTCGCCGCAGACACCCACCGCTCGATTAAACAAGAATGATCAAAGACGGGGGAAACAATTGGAGCGCAGTAAATATGTCATACGACACACTTTTGTCTCCGACACTAATTAATAACGATCGCTTTGTCCACCGGCTTTTTAACCGCCTCTCCAACGTTTCATTATTCGTGTCAATTTCCGCCGAGCGGAAGGAAAAAGAGCGCGGGATGACTCTTCGATTCGGACGAGCGCAAGGTGACTTCGATTCGAGCGCGGACAAAAAGCGTGGGTTACGCAAAAGCCCAATTATGTGTGCCTCGTTTTCGTGCTCGCTGCGGGACAATCACGATCGATCCGTCAAAGCAGCTCGATGACTGGCGCGTTCTCAACAAGGGAATCATTTCCTCCGCGGCGAACGGAACGGGAGAAGGTGCGGCGCTCTAGTTGCAGGTTTTTTTTTTCAGCAAGCGGCACGTAACACTTTTATTTTAACATCGCGGACGGCGCCGCGCCGAATAATGGCGGATAATTATTGTCTTCCGTGTTTCACGAGCATTTTGTCTCCGTCTACATATATGTCATTGTGAAATTCCACTCCTCGCGTCGGCATTTCGTAACGCGCGTTTAAGAAAACAACGGTGACGCTATTCCTTTTTTCAGCTCGACGGACTGCAATAATCGATTTAACGAAATACAACGAAAATTGCCCGAAAGTTAGTTTATTAATTAATCTTTTTGAATCATATTTTGGACGAAAAGAGAGAGAGAAAGGGAGAGAGAAAAAGAGAAAGAATGCCTCCGGGCCTTGACCACACTCTCACTTTCGTTCAGGTGTGAATTTAATTGCACCTCCGTCTTCTCTTCACCGGGGCCAAAGCGATCGGACGATCGGCGATAACGCGCCCCGCGATCGAGAGATCCCCCGAGTATATTTACGTAAGAGCGGCAAGTGCCCGTAAGTGTGGCGTGGGAGTGGAGCCAGTTCGCATGCAACCGGCAACGTTTCCTCGACTTTCTAAGTTCCGATAGCGCGATAGTTGTTGACCATCGCCATTGTCTTCGTTAGTCCGTGCGTGATTCAATGCGGGGCATAATTGAAAGTCCCTTATAGAGGAGCAAGTGTGCGTCATCGGCGATTTCGGATCGACATATTTTCGGACGACACTTTTCGAAGATCCGTGCCGTGAAAATATTCGCCTCGTCATAAGAAATAAATATGCCGTGGCAATCAAAAGCGAATTAACGGCAGGAAGAAAAGAAACTTTCTTCGATTGTATTTTGGTCCCGTTGCGTCCACGCCCGATTACGAATACTAATTAATAGTGAAATCGACACGCGCGAGTCATCGAAGTTCTCTCACTGCTCGGTTCTCTATTTACGAGCAAGCTCCTTTGTTTTATCGCAGGCGTCGTAAATTTTCCAGAACGATATATCGATAGATTAGATTTTTGCCGATGTAACGTTCGATACGCGAATTATTTACGAAAAATTTAACGATTGCAATTAATTTTATCATTTTTTTCGGGTGTATAAAATATCTCTTTTTAGGAGTTTAGACAGAAGCTAGATTTATTGATGCAAAACAAATTTGTATCAATGCTAATCGCACCGACAATTATTCATGAATCTCTGTTGCATTAAAATTATTCGTCTCGTCTTGTATGAACGCGCGCACGAGCCGCCACGGAGACTGCGATAATAATTCTTCCCCGTCCTACTTTACTCCATGTTTCGTCTTCATTCGCTCGCGAATTCTACATATGGCGGCAAGCGCGATGCGATCTACATATCAGATCGTGTGCCGCCGCGGCACACGACCGATCCATACGAGTTAGCTCCGGCGCTCTTCAAATGATAAATCGATTAACATCTTTCCGCGTGTACCTCTATTTCACTTTCGCGTAGTATTATTTTGAGACAAGATCTAAAGTGACATAAAATTTGATTACGGATGCGAGGAGCGGTGAATCTTCCGCGTCTCATTAATCGGAACAGGAAGCGGCACAATGAACAATAAGTAATAAATCCCTTTCATCCTGTTTCAACGGGCGAGGTTTTGTTCCTGCTCTCGCGATCTACATAGAACGTCGCAAATCCATCGTTCTGCTTGCGCGACATAAAATTTGCAAATATCTTCAATTCAAATCAGTAGAAATTTTGCAGCATATATAAAACAGTATATATAAAGCACCTTTCTTCTTACATTAAGATTCGAAACTTGTTGAATCTTTATCCGCTATTCCTTGAAAATTATTCAAGAAGATACTCCGATTGCCAAGTGATCTACTTTGAAAACTTTTCAAGCGATTATTAACATTGGAAAAATCACCGAGACCTCGCCGAGTCGCTCGCTGTTTCTTTGAAATTTCTCAAGAAAATTCCAAGGATTATTTCCTCGCCGACAATTAAGGGAAAACCGGTGGACGCAAAACCGCGCGATTTCGATTATTCCCCGACCGCAAGGAACCAGCCTGATCGAGTCTGCAACTTTCTCGAAAATTAAGCATATTTACTCGAACAGTTATTTCATGTCGTCGCGAAGATATAGGAAATGAAACAACGATAGTTTACGCAGGACGCAATTAGGTGTCCAAGATATACAAGCTGGTTTCATAAATAAAAACCGGTGATTGTAGATACCAAGAGTCGCGGAAATATTCCGAGTATCTAAAGAACGATGAATACCAAGGGATTAAATTTTACTAAACCGAGCCAGCCGGTTGATGTCGATCGTAATTTAGTCGCGAATAGCACTTTCAAGCCGCGTGAGTTGCGTCATGCGGCGTACGGGAGAAAATCGCCGGTCTCGGGACGCATATGCACGCGATATGACGTCGACGCGAAATGTCAAGCGATTCGGTTAAACCAGAGCGCCGGTGAGAACCAGAATTGCTTTGACAGGTCGCCTGACTGACTCTCCACGTGGAGAGTCGTGTACGCTCCGTTTCGCCGAGCGTTAGTCGCGCACACGGCGCACGTTCACCGGGGCAACGATTGCACTTGCACTTTTTATGAGAACCTGTTCAGCACGCCGGGCCACACCCACGGCGACGTAGAATCGGCGGTGTAGATCTCGCGAGAGCGGTCCAGGAAAGAAGGGACTACCCCGTTATACTTCTGTCGGGCGAACGGTAACGCGAGATTACGGACGCCGCGCGGCTCCTGCGAGAGAGTCCTGTTGTTGTTCCGTATATATTATTGCGCTCGTTCGTGCGAATATGTCTATCGCGTAAATATATCTTGTCTGGAAATCGGCTTGATTACATCTTTTATATTCTGCTGGTTATATTCTACTCAGTTTCTTTTGCATGCCTGAATATAGGATTCTCGGTAAATCATTACGACGATTAAATCATTACTCAACATTGTTATAATAATACAGATCATTAATTCTTGAATTTATTACAGAATATTTTGTTTTTTTACTTTTTTTTTAAATTTATTACACGTCATAAAGAGGATCTAACAAGTGTTTTATGTAAGAAATATTTTGATCGCAGCTTTATTCTTGGTTCTTTTATTCTTGACTAGTTAACAGCTCAATCAGATTGTTTTGTAATCATTTATGTTATTTGACGTGCGCTAATCTCCGGACGATTCATCGTCGATTGCACCGGTTGCTCGATAATTATTTCCGCTTTTGATTTCAAATAAAAAGTGATTCTATGCACCATTAATCCCTCGATAAATTTCTAATGGGAGACATTGTAACTAGAGGAGGATAGTGGAGAAAGTGGCAAAATCGAAAAAATTTCCAATTCGTTGCGAGAACGGAAAAAGATTGTGATGATTATTCGACTGGTACGAGTTACTTTCACGGCCGGCAAAAAAAAACAATTTTATTCGCTCTTTAAACGAGCAAACGTTGTTTTTATTACGACCGCGAGCTGTGGAACGCTAAACCGACTATTGGCGAGCAATTGACGTGTAGATTCAGGAATGTATGTAATCTCGTATGAATAAAATCTCGATTTGTTCGTGCGATATCGCAGCAATCTTATAATTTGATTTATAGAGCGTGGAAATACGTGAAGTTTCACGATGGAAGAGCATTCTTCGGGCGGTCCGAAAGAAGGAGAGAGATGCGTTGTTTTCTTGATTGCACCAATAATGGCGTATGAACTAGTTTCCATTAAATAACGACGTAAACAGTGGACTGCGTCTCAACAATGAAATCTCTGTTTCAGAGAGCTCGTCATAAAGTCTTATGAAACTTCTGCTGACTAAACACTCTGCTGACTAAACATCTTAAACTTCTCAAACCTGCTTCATATTTTACGAGCAACGTAGAACCGCCACGGAATTGTAATTCTTTTTAAAATCTATTTCACATTTTAAGCGCAACGCTAGACACATTGCAGAAATGAAACCGTAAGAAGCGAAGGCGAGACAATAGTTTCACTCGTCGCGAAATAAGCTCTCCGCTGCGCAACAACCTTGCACCTCGCACCTCGGTGAGTGCATTATTCCAGAAAATAATCCGTCGATCCCGTTCAATTATTGCGCCATCAGAGCGCAGAGTTAAACGCTTACTGGAACGTATCGTCGTGCCCGGCGAGCAATTATCATTCCGCGGCTAAACTGATGCAGAAATGATAGAAACGACGATGATTTCATCCGCCGTCACGTCGGAATCGCTTTCCAGCTGCGTTCGCACCGGCGTGTTCGCGCAAAGACAATGCTCGCGCGGATCGCATGGAAAATATCGATCCGTTCCGAATCTCGCCCGCGTTGTTCGCTACGCGCGAGAACTCAGGAGATTGGTAACTATCGGGAACGTGCGAACTATCAAGCGGCAAAAGTGTAACGAGTCGAGCCGAGTTTGACTCGATTCCGAGTTATTTCTTCACGCTCTCGTCGAAGGAATTCGCGTTCCGCGCCTTATATTACTCTCGGCTCTCGGCTCGGCGCCGATTCTAAGAAAACGGATCGGGGAAATTGTAGAGCCGTACCCGTCGATTCTATGGCCGATTGTCTTTGAATATATTCCCGGACACGCGCGTTTCCTTACGTAAGGAAAACAAGAGAAAATGTATCATTTTGTTCGCGCAAGAGGGGCCGGCTCGCGTCCACGCTCGCGCGCGCGGATAAAACTTTCACCACGTTTATTACTTACGTGCTCGTTATACGGCGTGGTCGACCGGGCATCGTTCCGTTATTTTGTCATGCTTCCTGCGCTGCTTTTTGGCGGCAAGAAAACGCCTCGTGAAATCGCCCGGACCGAGGCTAACTCGAGGCGAACGAAAAAAAAGTAATGCGTTCGCGTAACCGGTCGGCCGCGCGGCATAATTATGGAAATTCGGTCGCCGCAAAACGGCTAATCGCACGTTATTAAGTCTTTCCAGCCTAGTGATTTCAATTAGAATCACATACATTTCTTATGTAAGCCGGCTGACCAGTCGCCAGACGGCGGAACATTTTCTTCAATTTCTCTTTGGTCATCGAGCTACAGTTTTTAATTGCAAATCGAGCAAAGTGCGCAGATCGTTATAAATTAAATGACTCGAGATATTACTAATTATGAATTTTGTAGAAAAAGTTTTGCAAGAATATAGAAAAAAGTCGTAAGTTTTCCTCTTGTCAAAATATCAATCAGATGAGCTCACGAGAGAACGTTTTTGCAGAATGTCGCGCAGAATCAACGTCTGCGTCATCGTGATGCTCGTTCTGCTCGAGCTGACCACATCAGCCATGGTCCTGCCAAGGCCACCCTCGTCGCCTAATCACATTCGTCAAGATCAGGACTTGTCCGCGCGCAAGGCACTCGAGGGCAAATCCTTGCACGGCGTCCCACGAGACACCAACGTGGAGAGGCCCGATATCGAGGATTACAGGTATCGCCGACGTTTGCTCGCGGCAGCCTTTTACGCGGCACTCTTTTTTTTTTTTTTATTATTGCGGACTGGTTATTGATATTATGTATTCTGCGGCCGCCAACACCGTCGCTCCGGCAATTCACTTTCGCTCGCGTAGAATTTAGAACTCGTTCGCAATGATCGATCATCCGGGGATACAGGTGTCGATTGTTATCGCGCAGTCGATCGACGTTCTACTTCGAACAATACGTCGCGGAACTAATTTCTGAGAGAAACCGAGGCGGATTCGCGCAAACGAATCTTTATTTACTACGAATCTTGTCTGCATTTACAATTTTATATAATAGTAGTGGTTTTGTAAGAAAAACAGCTAACGGAAGAGGCTTAAGAACCAAAGCGCGGATTTCGGTGCAAGAAAATTATTACAGAATTTCTGTATCATTACTCCGCATTGATTTGTAGTAAATTTTTTTGCGCCTCGATACTCACACTTTGGTTCTCATAGTCTTTTTTCTGTTAGCTATTTTATATAATATTGAATTTCTTACAGGATTTTTTATTTATGCCTTTGATTTCATTAAACGTTAATGAATATCCGATAATGTTATTACACTCTATTTAACGACGCTTCCCCGGGATGCTCTCTCGTCTGACTCAGCGCGATTACGAAACGATATTCGCTTCGACCCCGCGAGTTTAAATCGCTCCGAACAAAAGCGGAAAATCCCGCTTGGAAACGTTGTTCTCTCTCACCGTCGGAAAGCGGCCCAATTAGCGCAAATGAAAAGCCGTCCTCGTTGCAGCGCACGAGAAACGTGAGAACCGGCCGGATAATCGCTCCCGTGCAATTTGCAATGGCGGTAGATTTACGTGATCGCAATTCATATCTGCGGGCAATCGATATCGGGCAACCGACAATTTTGAAAGCGAAATAAGCGCGATTAAGACGGGCCGATTGTCTCTCGATCCTTGCGTCGTGAGGCCGCAATACCGCTTGCGGTTTAACAATGCGAAGAGAAGCAGCGTTTCTGAACAATGACACCTGTAATGTCGCACGAATCGAATAACGACTGTCGCGGTCGCTCGAAAAGCAATCTTCCGCTCGCGATATTCACGCTACCGCTAATACCGGATACTTCCCGACGTGCATTATTCTCACTATATATTTACGGTTGATTGCCTTCAACTTTTATCCGTTTAATATCCATCCATTCGTTCGGCAGCGAAAAAAACCAAACGTGAAATTGATTTTTCCGTCTCCCTCGCAGATTTCTCGAGATCGAACTGCAGGGCGCCGACGAGATGGATGCCGCAAATCTGCAAGGTCTGGTGCGCGTGATGCTGAAGCAGCAGCAACAGCAGCAGCAGATCGAGCAGACGCCGAACGACAATTATCCGAATCCCGAGGTGATCCCGCACTCGATCCTCGGTGTGCGAGACATGGGCCTGAGTCCGAATTATCGTCTCGACACCTTCGACGACGATAAGCGCGTCCTGCTGAATCCGCCGAAGCTGCAAAGCCTCGACGAGAAGCTGTACTATCTGAAGAGCGGCCGACCGAAGGTCTACGTGAACGTGCGCGGACACAGCGGCTCCTTCCGCAAGGAGACCGCCTCACCTACGGCGACCCCGAGCGAGGGTGCGGTCGGATATCTCAAGGTTACGCGACCCTTCGAGAGGCAGACCGACTGGAAGGCGCGGGACAAGAAAGCCCGACCGCCCAAAAAGTTCGATCGCCGCGTCGACGGGATCGTTCTGCGGAACGGGGAAGTCGGCAAGACGATCTCTTACGCGCCGGACGATCTGTCCACCACGGAGAATTCCATGGTCACGTCTAGCGAATTGCCGAAGCAAATACCCGCGCCGCCGAGTAAGGTCCGAGGACGAGCCCTGATGGCGCAGACCACGCCTGTGCAGAGGTACGCGCTGAGGAGGACCGACATCCTGCCGGGATACGGCTTCGTCGAGGAGTAATCGTGTTTACGATAACGGCAGAATTGATTTCTTTTGCAAGTAAGAGTTTGAACAGATTCTAGTGCGACGATATATTTCACGATTTTCCGAAAATTTTTTATTGCTTTCTAAGTTTGATAGTACAAAAAATGCAACAAAGAAAATTGATGGCAAACTTCTTTTCAAAAATTATCAGTTACGAAGTAACTATTTAAATTAATTGCACGCAATATCTCTTCCGTCAAATTATTTCGTATCGCAAGCATCGTAAAATGCTGATAATCTCTCAAAACGAAATTATTTTTGAGTAATCAACTATGCACAATTTTCTTCCGTCGAATCATTGATTACTGTTTGTATAACGCGTCGCAAGCGTTATAGAGAGCGGATAATCAATGTCCAACATTTCTATCGCCTTTAACGCAATAATTAAAGTGAAACTTATAAATCTGACGTTTCGTAAGCGTCACGAAACTATAGAAATCTCAATATGTAAGGGGCTGTGATTGCGTAAAAAATGTTATTTCGCCTCGGCCTAGTTTTAGCGCCTTAACGTGAAATTTGACGTCGAATATTGGCTTCGAGTTTAATTTATGCAAAGCATAACGGCTTATGATAAGAATACGTAATCATTCGTTATTTATACGATTAATATATGCAGACAATTAATATAGAATTAAAAGAGTGCAGTAATATATTTTAACTTATGCAGTTTAGCAATCAGTATGCGGGAAAGCCAGTAAAACATCTTTATTACTTATATACGTTTGGAAGATTATTTCTATCATTAGCGGAAACATGGAGAGGCACTAGAGATAACACGTGTTAATCACAAAGAGAACATATTAACAAAAACTTACCTGTTCCGTCTTTAACGTGAGCTCGATGAAGATCTGCTGTAATTTCTCGTTCACGAAATTGATGCAGAATTGCTCGAAGCCGTTCTTCTCGAAGATCTCGAAGCCATAAATGTCCAAAATTCCGATCTCATATCCGTCCGAGTTTATCATCATGGCCGCATTGACTTTCTGTGGAAACGTCAATTATTCAATAAAGAGATCCAAAGCTCCTTTTAAAGTTGAACAATAATTACGGGTGAAAAGATTATCTGTCTAATCAAAATAGATATATTGAATATATTTTTATCGAATAAAATTAATTAAATATTAATAGAAATTTAATAGAAAAAAATTAACTTACTCTCTTTTACAAAAAGAATTTAATGCTCAGATCAATAATCAATTAAATATGTATTGCAAAAAGAAAAGTCGATTAATTTTCATTATTCAAGCTTTTAATTGTGCGATAATTAGCATTTTCCCATATTTATAGTGTTAAAATTAATCGTTTTTAAACGACCGCTCTCTCACACCTTGACCAAGTAGTCGAATAGTTTAGCATAGATGTCCTTTGCCAAAGCGTCCCTTGCATAAAGTGCCTGCTCCACATTCAACGTCAGGTCCACACTTTCCGATTGACTCCCCCATTTCGACTCGAATTCCCGAGAGATTAATTTGTGCGACAACTGCTCTGCCGAGATTCCAAAGAGATAGGCTGGGAACTCAAGAACTAAAAATATATCGATACGATTAGAAAAAGAAAACAATTTTGACGGAAATGTAAATAATAATACAAAAACGTATATATATATAATAGAAAAATTAGTCAGTAAGACTAACTTATCGATCAATTGATAGCCTTTAGATATGATAAGTTATAAATAAGTTATATAGTTTATATACAAAGAGATATAATTATAGAGATTACGCGGATAAGTTGCGTCAAATTATTGCTATTATGTTTTTAATACACACAGAATGGCTTACATTGTTTATCGGCTATCTGTGAGTAATTGCCGTTTTCGACGAACTGTATATTTCCCAAGTGAAGAATTCCAGCTACCAGTCTGAATATATCCATCACTTCCATGTCTTTTATTCCCATGACACTAAGCGCTGCAGATATAATATATATATAAAAAATTATCAAATAAGATCTATTTTCTAATTAGAGAAAAAAACATATATAAGAATATATTAAAATAATCGCAAAGTATTGGGTTGATCAAAAAGTTCCTTCGGATTTTCGATGAAAATAAAAGACAACATTTCGATTATTTTAATATAGTCTTATATTTTTTTTCTCTAATTAGAAAATATTAGTTCCAGCTGCACAAAAATCGATAAGTGATGCGAGACATTATATATAATAATCACATGTAAATACCTTTAAGGGTTTCCTGAAAATCCCGCGCATCATTTGTGCCGTCCACCCTGTGATTGCCGCCGTAACTCAGATATTGATAATAATCGAGATCCGTCAATCCGAATTCCGCTAAAATTAAAAATGCATTGTTTAATTAGAGCTGCGCTTTCAGAGCTGCGCTACTTTTACTGCTGAATTACACTTACATTTCATGTCTTGATTAGCGCCCATCGCCAGCTGATAAAATATGTGGAAATTTCGCTCGCCGGGATTGTGACAGGTCACTCTCGATTTTTCCAGGAGAAAATTCGAGATTTTGCCGCCGTTCGGCTGACCGCCCGGTCCGAACTGCATCTCCACATATTTTCCCTGAAAGTTCAAATTTTCTTTTGTTTTCTTCGAATTGAGATAAACATATTTTAATTTGAATATAATTCTTGAAACGTACAAATCTACTACTGTTGTTATTTCTCACAGTCTTTGCGTTGCCGAAAGCTTCCAAAAGAGGATTTGACTCCAAGATAACATCCTTCACCCGCTGCACCTTCTCACCACCACCACTCACCCTCGCTATATAAGACATTATGTATTTCGCGGCGACCGTTTTTCCAGCGCCAGACTCACCGCTGCAAGATGGACGCAAAAACGGTGAGTACATTTTTCCTCGATAATTACATTAAACAAATCTCCGAGATAAAATACGCTGCTCTACAATTTTCTCTATTGATTTTCTTAACGCGAATATTACTTACCTGATGATGACACACTGACTCTCGTTATCGATTAGCATGTTTCTATACATGTCGTCCGCCAGTCCATAAATGTGTGGTGGATTCTCGTACGGCGCCTGAATGATAACGATAATTTTAATTATAATTGCACATGCGTAATTACAAAATGCCAAAATAATAAGCTTTTCTTGATGCATTAACGAGAAAAATACTCACCGCGCCTTGGTATATTTCGACTTCCTTCTCTCCGAAATACGGCATTTGTTTGAAAGGATTGACTGATACCAGCACAGGTCCAATGCATGTCTAATAGCCATTAAGGAGCATTGTGCAAATCATTCGCCGCTGCCAAAGACTATCGTGATAACTCGTCATAAACCCACACTATCTCGCAGATTTTCCTTCGCGAGAAGGAAAGCAAAAGAGCGAGAGATAATGACTCTTCCCATATTACGCAAATGAAACGATAATGCAACAAAGGATACAAATATATAATCGTCCATGTATCGCTTTCTGAGGTTCTCGATGATAGCGTCCTCGTTGATCTTCGGCAGGAGGACCATGTCGTCCACTCCGGAAATTTTGACATTTTGACTTTGCCAGTGGTACACCTAAAATTAAATTAATTAATTAACTACCAAAAGTAAATCGCGATAATTATCAATTGTCAATAGCGATATTAAATTCTACATTGTCGCAGACTTCTTCAAACTTTTTCATATTACGAATGCAGCAATATACGCGAGTCGAATCGGCGGACAATTCGCGCTGCAAATCCAATTACGACTTCTATGCCGCGAGTGGTATTAGAAATGCTTATTCGTTCTGACATTTCACGGATCGCCGATCTATCGATCACTTCCGTTCTTCTTTTAGTACGGTCTTCGTTTAGTCTTTCACTCTGCGGCCTTTGACACTTAGAGCGCCGGGTATTTATATTGACAGATTGTAACACACGCAATAATAACATATTAATTCTGAACAATGAAAATAACACGCACAAGCTCAATGATTTTTATCTCAAAGCTAATGATATTCATAGCGCTTTCAGTGTTATTTATTAAAACTTGATATACACGCAAGAAATGCGTAAATATAATATTTCAATCTGCAAGAAATCTGGAAATGTACAATTATTTTATGGAATTATAAATCATTTTAATTTTCTTATCTAACAGCGATTTACGTAATAGAAGAAGAAACCGCGTTAACGATTGATCGTAAAGTAACGAACGTAAGTAGGTGTTGTGAATGGAAGCCCAGCGTGAGAAACACGCATTCTCGATTGCACGTGGCGTGGCGTCGAGGAATACGAGAGAAATTGAAGTCAGCGCATATTCAGGCTTCCGGTCGGACGATTCCCTTTCGACGAATTCCGCATAATTCCAGAGGATCGAATATAGTGCAACGTTTCGTAAGACAATCCTCCTCCCGTGAATCTTAAACGACCGACATTGTCGATATAATCCATCGTAGAAAGTCGGTCATTGCCAATTAACATATTGATACGAGTGACGCGCGCATCGATCTTGCAGATTATAAATATTTTATACACATTAAAATTATACAAAGTTGTTAATTCTTATCTTTGGCCTTAGAAAACACATAAATAAACGAATGCAATGCGCTTTTGTTCCCCTCTCCGGGGACACATCAGCATCGATTCCGCCAAATGTCGTCGCGCCGTTGACATTTCGGCCCGACGATCAATTTATATCGACAAAGCAATTTGCGCAGATGCAACGCGCGAGCAAATTCGCAAACAGACTGTAACGAACGACAGATGAGAGAGAGAGAGGAGGGGAGGGGGGAGGGAAGGAAGGGAGAGATTTCGTCAGTCCGCAGAGACCGTAGAAAGCGGCGGGAACCAGCGTTCGCAGGCGGCTGACAATGCCCAACGAGAGAGAGATGAATGGACACGCATGCACGCGGAGCTTCCGCTTCTCATCGCCGCAATTTCGACGAGCGACAGATTTTGTCAACAATGAAAGCTGGCCATCTTTTGCCATTAAGCCGCGATCGGCGAAGCTATCATAGAGTCGGTTTAATTGTGATTGATGGGGCTACTGACCGCACCATCGATCGCATAATGTTCCCTGTTGTCACGCGCGTGCCGGTTCGGAGCGGCGGCATGATTTCACGGCTCCCTCCGTCGCGGCCGGCGCAATGAAACTGTCTGTTCGTTCACCGCAGTTCCGCTGCCGCGGTGACGGTCAACGAGATATCGCTGTTGTAGACTCCGGTCTTCCTACCGTGTGTATTTCGCCGGATTTTTGTGAGATAAAAATTGCTTGAGATTAAAATTAAAATGTTTAATAGTTAAAATAATTAAAAGCGATAAAATAATTTCAATTGTAAGAATTTTAAGGTGAAAAAAATGAGACGGATTGCCGACATAAAGAGCCAAGGCAATGCTGGAGAAAGTTTTTTCAGCAGCGTTATCTTGGCGGTTTTTGTTGAAGATTAATCTGTCGTTTTTTTCATCTTGGAATTGTTACAATTGGAATTATTTTAGGATTTTAAATTATTTTAATTATTATAACAGTTTAATTTGCATTCTACAAAATTTTAATTGAAGGAATCCTAATTTATTTTGAACGTATCGAACGTTTAATGAAGCAGAGATTGCACTAGGAAACTTTGCCGCGCGTGATATATTATTTTCCGCGTTTTGATTGAAATGCTATGTTCCTTTTAAACAACATGTCTTGTTATTTAGTTAATTTAGAATGATATTTAAACAAATTTATCCAGGGAACCGCTTGTTGTCAACCAAATGATAAGACAACCTTTGGTTATCGATAAGCATATAACCCAAAGATATCGAATAATGGATTCGATTCGCGAATGTGACAAAACTTTTACATATACAGGCTCATTTTATCAAATTTCAAGGATCTCTTGAACTCAACTGCGTACAGAAGATCGATAAAAATATTTTATTTCGACGCAACGCGCGAGGATTTTTCCACGAATAAATGGCGCTGCGAGATTTGTTGTCAAACGTTGCAGAAATAATCTCGTGACTCATGGCAGGTGGAGACATCCGCTGATAGAAAATGATACACCCTGGAATTTTCTCAGAAGGATTTCATGGCAGAAAACGCACGGAGTTGCGTTAGAGTACAAAGCGCCGGACAATAAAGCGCTATTTCGCGCGGAGGGAAAGGCGTCTCTCTCTTGGCCTTGTTAACATGCATTCTTCGGAACGATTAACAGTGCTACGATTATAAGCACGCAACGCAAGGACGTGCGTGCATGCGTTATCTTCTCTAGCTAGGCTAGAGCGTTATCTTCTCTCTCTTTGCACGGCTCCGATAAGAGTGTGTCGACATTGCGTAACCTGCTCATCGCGATAACGATCCTCGCGAATATCGGCGTGAAATGGCATTCTAATCGAATAGAGATTGAAACCGCATCATGTCATTTTGCACTCGCCCCTAATTGAACCGAATTGAAACAATCGATATTTAATCGTGTCATGAGATTAAAAGGGGAAGATAACTCTCAACTTTCGCTCTGTTTAAAAAAAACCAATTTCCTGATAAGTCTTCAATTTTATCTTATATCTTATCCCGCACTGTCGACTGAATATTTATCGATACGCGCAATGGAACGTTGCAGAAGTCAATGCGAACTCTAACAGGATATTCCATTATATCGACCGGTGTACGCAATGTGCATAACCGTAAAATTTCCAACGCGCAATAACGGCCGTAAAAGTCTTCCCAGAAGATACTATGGACACTTTCGACATGCATACCTTATCGGGATGCTTAAGACACATCATTACACGCATCACTGACCGCTTCACATCACCGCGATTGCTCCAATTCTCGGAATAAGCAGTAATCTATCAGACTGCGGCAATTGGAGAATTTCGTCTCATGAATGAAACTGTTGGATAATAACGTAACAACTCGTCGTGAAAATTGGAAGGAATTGCGGATAGCTGCGGATACATCCGAATTGTTACCTCTTTGTCTAACAATAATGAATTTCCGCGTTCGAATAACACGCTTTTCTGTGGGAAAATGTATATTGCCGGGTTTTTAGGAAATAGAACATAAAGAAAAATCTCTCTTTGGAAATGCTTGAGCGTGTGTGCGTTTAAATATAGAGACCGGTTTAGGAGGCATAAATGCAATTGTCCAGTAATTGTCTATGCAATTGTGAGCGGCATACGACTTGGCGCACTTAGGCGGTTTATAGCGCGTAATAAGCGCGCTGACGACAATCATTTCGTACGAGCCAAATAGAGATCCACCTACGAAATTCTATCTGGCCGAGATATATACCTCACTCGAAAGTGAACTATGAGGTGACGGAGGAAAGAAAAAGGCGGGAAGTGGTTCAACGAACCTGTCTAAGAGTAAGACTCCGTCTTGGAAAACGTGACTCACTGCGCGCCGGCGCGCGTGAGGTAATCCTGTTTTGTCAATTTACACGGAAGCGACTGGTGTGCGTATCGCATCGGGAATTCCAATTGCCGTCTGGTCAGTTTTTCTGAATGAACAGTTAACGTGTGAGAGAACTGCTTTCGTCAACTGTATTCGTAGTCTTGTAAAAGTCTGACGCGGAAAGCGTTACATAAAAGAGAACTAAGTCGATTTTATTTATCTCCCGTTATTTCACATTATTCTCTATAGATTTATAATTTAAAAGAAATTTATTTATAATTTCATCATAAAGAAACGTATTAAAGAATTTAAATACACGCGTACAAAATACACATCTAGGGCCGGATGTACGATTTTGTGGCCCCTATGCTATGATCTTAAGGAGGCCCCCAGCTTATTAACAAAAAATACATTTTTTTAAATCTTTTCTATACTAAGGAGGCCCACTTATAATGTGAGGCCCTAAGCTGTAGCTTATCTAGCTTATGTGTAGATCCGGCACTGTACACATCACTAATAGTTTTGTATACGTGTGCTGTGATTTTTTAAATGTTTTTAGTATTACGCAGTGTGTATATAAAATTATAAATAGAATTCTATAGCAAATTATGGATTTTTCAAATTGGGGTTAAGATTATTTCAATATATCGATGATGTGCAAAATGCATTCCGACAATTTTAATGATCCGAGACTTGAATGATTAATAAATTTCATAGAAATAATCGCTCAATGATCCGTGTCAAGCACGTCACCAATATTTTACGCGACTTTTCTACACTTGCAAATAATTTACGCGATAGTCCTTGCGCGACGCACGACACGATGACGTTCGGTGTAAAAAAAGACGATTATCGGTTTCCAATTAATTCCGAGTCATCTCCAACGTCTTCTCCAATTTGCGAGCGACGAAACCTAATGCCGTGGGCAATTTTGCAGATATAAGACATGCACTTTAATTCACGAGGACGATCGATCGACCTTGCCTTAAAGCGGCCTTTTCCCTGTTGAAACATTTTAGTCTTGCCACGAGAAAATGAATCACTTCCCGTTTACGGATCACAAGACAAAGAAAGGCGCGACGTAAGGAAGTGCATTCGTGACACGAAGATCACGTGAGACAGAAACTCAAGATCATTCGCATGATCATGCTTGGTTCCTCGTTTTATATTTTTTTTTTTTTTTACAAGATCTTTGCGATGTTTTTTCAATTGTATCATATAATTCAATCATTCTTTTTTTTATTATTATACGTGCACTTTCTAAAATTAATATGAAAACTTATGTATCAAGCAGAAGTTTTCAGCGCGAATAAAAACAATTTCTCCTTGTAATTAAAAGTTTAATTTAATAAATAGACTTGCCGAAGGTAAGAACTCTAACGGGAAAATATTTCTGACGTCATCCGATCGCAAGAAGCTTCATTACTCACGATCCAAGAGTCAAAGCGACGCGACACAATCTGGGCTGAATTTAAAGTTTACTCCGAGGTCAAAGAGATTGAGCGCGACAGTGAAAACATATTTATATGTATTCAAGACCCGCTTGAATTTCATACTCGCTTCACAGCGAGTATATTGTAGTTAACGCAATACTAACGTGATAAGATACCGTTTTACGGTTAATCTACAATGCCCTTCGTTTTGATTAGAATTTCAACTCCTATGTTAGATAAAAATTAATAACTTTACTTCCATTTTATTCAATCGTTGCAATATAGTATCATAAATAACATCTCCTCGAAATCAAAATTACACTTTTCGACGATAAAGTGGTTCAACAATGTTATAATTCTTCATTTAACAAAAAATAATGCCCTTTCTCGAAATTTATTACCACGTTTTCCTTCGATATGTCTCAGACACCTTCAAAATTGAGTTTGTTCTAAAAATTGTTCTACAATTACGACAGTAATAATCAAATTTTTAATTACCATGTCGTCAAAATTGAAAGTTCCACCAAACAGTTCCCAAGTTGATCGTTCAAAACTTGATCAGTCAAAACTTCAATTAGTTTCAATCATATCGACACACGTGATACACACAGCATCGAGGATGATCACTGATCACTTAACTAACGTTTTAAATGACAGAAGCGCGCGAGAAATGCGTTATCAGAAGATGCGCACACGTGCAACCGATGTCGACGGCTCCGTAGTCCGTCGCGCACTGAACTACTCTTTGGTGAGTCACGCAGCACCGGAACGGACACTCGCCTGCCTGCCTTTGTAGGAGTCGTGAAGAGCACGTTGATGCTTTGAGCCTGCGACACTGAAACAGAGACCGGCTATTTTCATTTTTCTCGGCCCTTTTCCGTTGAACCTTTTACGCGACGGGCGGTCCTGGTGCCACATTTTAAGGATTTGCGTTCTACTTTCTCTTCACGTTATTTTCTCGTGGCGTATATTTTTTTGAAGAAATATTAAATTTTATTTATCTGTTATTTAAAGCCCACTTTGGACAATGTATAATTCGCAACGGAATTCGAGATAAAAGTCTATTTATAATTTTATTTGATAAAAGGCATTCAAAGAATCGGATTACACATACAAAATATTATTGGTATATATTTTTGTACAATCTGGCTTTTTCTGTTATTACTTAAAATTACAAATAATAGAATATTTAAGATTATAAACAGAATCTCGAATTCTAGATAGCGAATTGTAGATCTGCAGCGGTGATCACGCGGAGAAATAATAAGGATTTAAAGGGAAAATCGACGTATTTCATCGATGTGAAAGTTAATTCGCTTATTGATCGTATACATGTCACGGTACGATCACCAATGATTGCATTAGATCCTACAAAACACCAGCGGCAGCTCTGGCACTTTCCTTCTACGGGCAGGGCAGGTGTAGCCTCCATACCGCGTTTTCTATGCATACACCTTCGAGTCGCGTTAATCCAAGGTCGATTCACTTTCCACAGATGAACTCGTCCTAGTTTCATGAGATATGGGCTCTTAATCTCCACAGCTTCTCTGTTAAAAATATTAACACTTCAAAGAGCACATTGTTCGCTAATGCTTTATGAGAGTCGTTTGATTTTACGTTTCAAGCGGAGAATTGATTTCTACGCGCATACATTTAGTATAAATGACGCATAAATTTGAAAAATCAGCAGCAAATAAAGTCATGATGTGGTGAATCATAATTGTACACGTGCGTCGCGTCATGTAGTCATTCGTGATGCTATATTGATGAAACGACAAGTCGGCTTTGAAATTACACGAATGACTAAGTGAGAGTTTTGTTGCGGTTTTTCGTTATCATTAGTATTGATTAGATTATACACTCTCCACTGTCAACTGTGGTATCTGTGTTAATGTTATGTGTTACTTGCTTTAGTAAATATTTAAGCAGCCATTAGCGATAAAAACGAGTTCTTTAATCAATCATTGGTTTCATCATCGCTTTACAACAAAATTTGGATAATTGATTACAAAGGCTGTAAAGATTAACTCTAGTAAGCAAATGTGATCTAATTTGTGTTTTATCTTTCCTCAATAATTAAAAAACCGAGATATCGCATTCGCTATTTTAATTCCAAAGAGCTGTACAAAAGCAACACGTCGCGATGACTCTTGCGCGCGGAGTGAGAGCAACACGCCGCGAGTGGATCTATTGTGAGTGGTAAATTAAATGTTTCTCGTTTCTTGTTCGTTTGCAATGAAATGTTTTGTTTATTCATGCATGCGATACAAAATTTCAAGGACTAACAGACCAGAAGAAAAACGCACCCCTCATACGTCTACAACTGTTACGCTACGTTTTGCAAGCGTACAAAAAGTGTACATACGAATGGAGATTGTAGAAAGATTATCATCGTTATTTCGTTTTGATTAGCGCAGAGCTCCATTCATCGTCGTCGCGTCGGCCGTTTTTTTTTGTTTTTCTTTTTTGTTAAATTAATATTACACTTGCACTCAACATCCACCGCCACATTTGTACACAATGTAGTATTTAGCCCTCTGTTAAATTATTCCTGCATTCCGTATAAAGGTTGATTAAAACTCACTTACGTAGCAGCTCTATAGCGAATAAATATACATATCACTTATTCAATTAGTTGTCAAATAAATATCTAACAAACTATCTAACAAACTAATCCCGAAAACCTCGAAATGTTGACTATGAAAAGCAACGCGGTAGGCTAGATGTACATCTACATGAAAGTGCACATCCACACGCACACGCATACGCACACGCGCGCACACATCGGCAGCGAGAGAAATTAAGTTAATTACAGTAACAATTGACGTATAGCCGTGTTCAGCGAAATACGATCACCGCGTACCAGAAAAATATTCAGAATTTTACGGGGAAACAAATTCGCGAATTTCGCGTTTACGCGAGAAGCGTTGGATCTGTCTGCATTAACGCGCGACATGTGTTTCGTCAGCACAATTTTAATTAACGATTATATTGCAATTCCGCACGGCGCGTCACATTACATCGAAACAAATTGACAATAAGGACGAAATGCTTTACAACAATATTAACTGATGATACAAAAATCTTATGAGTAACGTGAATATCGTAAAGGGAGATATACTTTAAATCTCTCACATTTTTCTGCGCAACTATGTCGCATAATATCTTTAAAATATCATACCTATAATAGGATTACATATTCTTAAAAAAGAGAATTTGAAATTTCTCCTCTCTGACTAAAGACTCGAACCCAAGAAACGCTACTTACGATCTAACGGCTATTCCGATTTAAATGAAATCTGCGCTGAGCAATTTTTGGGAAATCAAAGAAGGTTGCTTAATGATACACGTTCGATACCAAATTCGTCACTAATAATTCAATTACAAATTGGATCTAAATGATTGAAAACACACGTTTCTTGTACATATGTGTCTCCAACTGCCTTCAATTCGCTAACTTTACACTTTCAACGTTGCAGAGTACTTTTTTTCTACGTTCTTATGTACAGTTGCGAGTAACGTATCGTTCTATCGTAACTTAATTTTATCGGGGAAGTTCTGAGAAATGTATCGCGCGCAGAATTGAGAGAAGCTGTGCCGCGTCACGACGATCTTGAACTCTCAATATATTCCACTCCATCCCTTGTATCAAACAACTGTCTATTTTGCTCTTTTGAACTCGCCGCACTTTAGACCGAGTGTCCACTTGAAAGTTTCACTCTCCGACACGCGTCTCGATAGCGGAGAGAAACTTGCGATATTCGAAATGGAAAACCAATTCCAACGCGCTACGCTTCTCGGAGAATTTTAGCATTAAGAATCACTGTTGAGCAATAAGAAACTTTCCCTGCAAAAACATAATTCTCAAGTGTAATGTAATCTTAAATTTCAATATAAGTTCAGCGTTTAATTCAGTTTAACTGCACACTTTACTATCGAGAGCCACCCGCGGAGAGTATAACTTTTACGAATTAAATGTGATATTGTAGAAATTTTTTTTTTTTTTATTGTCCATCGGATAATTTTGCTCTCAAGAATTGCTCTGAGAGACCGAGTAGACCATTCCGATCAAATAGAAGAAATAGCGCATTAAATTCCCAATTCTTTGCGATTTTAATGTTTTTACATCGATCGGCCCAGCGAGCGGGTATTCTTAATTTATAACTAGAATTACATTATACATATTGCAATTGACCTCCGTTTATTTATACAACTAGCTTGTCAGCCACAGCGCTCTCCTGTTTCGCAAAAAACGGTATGTATACGCGGATTTTTTTTATTTCGCTTTATTTCGCTCATCTTCAATTTCAGTGAAATAAATTTTGATTTATGCGACCCCGCTGACTTAGATGTTGAACATGCAAATTCGTTCCGCGATTAATCGTCCTATTCGGATAATGCGATAAGCTTGTCAGTTTCCTTGACAATGGTAGAGTAGAAGACAGGCTTTGTTTAGATTAATCGACGGAGCGCGCGCGAAACAGTCGCACCATCTTTTGACGTGTCTCAGCAAAGCCGAATTTCGTGAAGTCTCACAAATTTCCACACTCAACACTTGTATAGCAATATACCTCGTACTTCGCACAGTTACAAATCTAATTTCTTAGAGTTGTCTGTGCTGAATCAATATTATTACATTTCAGACGATCTATTCGCAACGGAATGGAAAATAGAATTCTATTTACAATTTCGTGCGCTGTGTAATAAAAGAAACGTTTTAACAATCAGAAAGCACACATATGTAAAATATATATCAGTGATATGTATTTTGTATGTGTGTAATTCCGATCCTTCAAACGTGTTCTGTTACATAAAATTATAAAGAGAACATTTTAATTTGAATTCTGATAAATCTATATCGAAAAAGGCTCGACATGAACGAGTCGCATGATTTCGCGAACAGGAGAGCGCCGGTGCGCTCCGATGCAACGATCGGCGTGAGATTTATTTACTTTACTTATAGTTTCTGTTTTTCTCGAGCCGTCCCGTTTTTTTTTTTCGTTTTAGTTCTCAGGGCGGATATCGAGCGAGTCCAATGATACGAAAAAGTGTTAAGACAGCGTAGGCACTTTTAGGAAAAATGACTGATAGTGAAAACTGTATATCCACTCGAGAGTACAAGCTCTTATCCTCTGTTAATTGTGTCTCTATAGTCAACAGAGTTGCTTGTAATCGCCAACTGCCATTTTCCAAAATTTATCATCAGCTGCTTTTGAGAGGTAAACACTCAAGTGGACGTCTACGATAAGATAAGTCAGGATTTGCTGACGTACATACAAAAATATGTAAAGAATTACAATATAATTCTGTAAAAAGCAAAATAGATTTATAAAAATTTATTTTAGAAGTCATATATTTTTGATCTTTAAAATTAGCACGCTTCATAATTGTTCAATCTATTTTAATTTTGTTTTATTCTTCTCTTAAATAACACAAGAACTACGATAAAATAGAGATAAAAAAAATCTTCAACGCCTAAAATATTTTCCGTGAAATGATTTTACAAGCAAGTCCTGACAGATCTCACTATAGTGAGAGATATCCTAAAAATGTATCGAGAATTTGAACGAGAAAAAGAGAGAAAGAGAGAGAGATGAGGTATGTTATTAATACTCTCACGGGAATGTACAATGATGAGACAAAGTGATTACGCACATCAAGCGCACCTACGCTCGCGCACATCCGATTAGAGGAACGACAGCGGATAAATCAGCGGGAAATCTCACAAATTTAACGTTGCCACCGACGCCAGATTTTTCAATCTTAC